GTGTGTGTGTATATATATACACACACACACAGGGTGAGGCGTTTGAAACAGGCCACCTGAATAATTTCTAAATGGTTCGAGATATTAGATTGAAATTTATAGAGTTACAATAGTATCATGAAATCTATTATTTAATCTTGAAAACACTGACTTTAACCCTCCAGGGGGAGGGTGGATGGGAAGGAGAGTTGAAGTCGGTGTTTTCAAAATTAAATATAATAGATTTTATGATGCCATTGTAGCCTTATAAATTTTAATCCAATATCTCGAACCATTCCTGTATTATTCAAACCAGTTTTATTAGTAATTTAGTGATTTTATAATGATTAATATTAGGTGAACAACGATTTCAATTTTTTGCGTCACGCATATATATACTTTTACATTATATAATCCTTCCCCTCCCCCCTCTCTCTTTCTACCTTCCATTCCCCCCCCCCTCTCTCTCTCTTTTTTCCATTTCTCCCTGATTCTCAGCTGAGAATGAGTTAAATGAGGCATCGTTAAAATTATTCTAAAAGATGTACATATTTATAATATTCCAAATGATTAACTGGTCGATATATATTACATAAAACTTTCGATGTTAAGAGAGCTATAGCTATTATGTTCAGTATCGGATGGCATTGTGTTACAGCTACAGTTAATACTCGAGGAAGTGTAATTCATAAGATTGTAAGATTAACGCAAGCGCGGCAATGTCTCCCAAAAGTAGTACATTTATTAGATAGACAAGTAATTTCATATGAATCAGTATTTATTGTTCGATTCAATCTTTCTCGATTTCTGTGCGACGAAAGATCATTGACATAGCGAATGGACGATCGAAGATGATTATGTCATATAATAAGTCATGAATTTTTACAATAAAAAAATTTTTACAGTACATGATCATATTACGAATTTTAATTGTTATCGATCTATCGCAACAACTTCAATTTTCTACATATATTGCAGGTATTTATCGACTTGGATATCATCGATCGTTCAAATGCTTCCGTCCTAGTGTTTACATATAAATAATATTTATGTAATAATAATCGTACTTAATTTATTTTAGTTTCATAAACAAATCTGAGTTTATACTCTATCAAGCGTCTTATGTTCTATCAAGTATTATTTTATTCGAGAACCTGTAATTTAAATATATATAAATCTGTTGGGAATGAAAAACAATGTAATCTTCATTCACTTACTTAGACGAAAAACGATAAAAACTGATCATATGTTTAGAATTAAATAATTAAAATGATTTTGAAAAGTCAAGAAAAAATGAAGGAAATATCAATAGTATAGCATAGAAATTATCACAATTGAGTTATTTCAAATTTCAATGTTGTCAACTATAATCTATATTTCAGTATTTTCATTCCCAATACACTGATAGCAGCCTATGACTTGAAAAACAGTATGTTGCGCGAAGGTTATATCTGCGTAAATATCGAACTAAAGTTAGATCAAGTCGAAATCGGTCATTACGCGATCATCGTAATATAGAGAAATAATGAGAAGCCAAAAAAATGTGCTCTAGCTTGTAATGTAATACAATCGCGACTCTGCCTATAAAAATACACGCTGCAAGTTAGAGCGTGTTAATCGTGTGTTAGTAACGTAATTTATGCGCATAATGCGTTGAAACGCATGTAAAACAATTATAAAGCGTACGAACTCCGGAATACTGTGTATATCTACGAAAGATGTCAAGCAGATTAATCTATTATTTTTAATGTCTATGTTTTTAAATGCTTTATCTATATAGGTAATAGCGAATTAATTAACTTATAAAACTATAGATAAAATAAAAATATATCAAATTATATACATATATACATATATATATATATATATATATATATATATATATTACATATCAGATGCGCGCGCGCGCGTGTGTGTAATATGTACATATACATACATGCGCACGTTCACACGACTGTCATTAGAAAAGTTTAGTTCAACATTGAAAATATGTTTGTCAAAAAAGAGGGAAATGAAGAATTTCATTTTATAATTATAATGGGGAAACATCCCTACTTACAAAGCTAAGAAACTCTTTATTTATTTTTGAAATTTGTCCAAGTGTCATTGAAATAATAAAACATTGTGCAAATCCATTCTTTTTCTTTCTTTTTTTTCATAAATATTTTGATCCTTTTGACGTGAAAAATATGCCTTCAAAATTTATCCTTATAAATTAACTGAATCTTGTATATGCAAATATCGGTATGTACAAGATGCTTTCATTTTTTTTCACCTACCAATTTACCTACAATTCTATTTGGAATCTGTTTGTCTCTCTTTGGTGAAACATTAAAATTTTTTTAAATAAAACTCACTTGACATTGATTAGAAGAAATTAAATTCTTTTATTTTCTAGATTTACCTTTAAAGCCTTTATTCGATAAAAATAGATAAATTTTCATAATTTCGAAACTTGGACGTATTAATATCTACGGTCACAATTAAAAAGAATTAATCATAAATTAATCAAAGAACTCTCTGAAAATAGGAGAATAAAATAGTAATAATAGTAATAATATATAATAATAATATATCGGGTAATTTGTGTATAAAAATATATATGATACATATATAATAAATGTACATGTGAAATTGTGCGTTTGGCGCATTGCATACATGGTAGGCAAAACAATATTTCTTTCGAAGAACTGAAAACTAATTTTTTTTACAAGTGGAAATTTAATTAAATAATCGTAAATTCCAAACTTTTCATTTCTATTATTAAATATTTTTAAAATTATGCATCTTTAGAGTAGCAAAATATTCTAAATGAAACTAAATATTATTTAATGTATTCAAAATTAATATTGTTATTTATTTGTATTAATATAAATGTGCGTATTATACATAAAAATCTTTTATTTTTTTATCAATCATGTTTTCAAGACTCGCATTCATCTCGCGAAATAAAAAATATTACATTTTAATTTATAAATTTTTAAGAAAAATATTTCACTACTGTTTTAATCAAATATTTCTCTATTTCTATGTCTACATATTTTACACTCTGCGTATTATATGTATACATATAAATTATATATCATTCCATAATTCCATTTATTATGTGTATATAACTATAGTTCATACATAATATTATATAGTATATAATATTTAACTTGCATTTGCTTTTAAGACTACGGATATTATACATTAACAATATATAACAATATATATTTGTTAATTTAACCGTCCTCTTATTTAAATAGGATTGCTCCACTTTTACCGAACATCATTGCAATTAAATACATTTTGGATTAATTTGACTTCACGTTTTTTTAATTATGATTAAAATATTGGTTTTTATATTTTTAAACTTTCTAAAACCTCAAACTAAAATTTTATTCAGTAAAAATGGATCAACCTGTAGAGTCGACTCTCCACCATTCTCGATGACTTTAATCGGCGATCCTCTGAAATATGCGCTTGTTTTATTGTTTATTATTTTTTATTGTTATAAAATTGACAATATATAACAATATACACATTACATAATTGTAACATTATAACTTATTTTACATAAAAAATAGAAAAGTACATAATAAATATAACATAAAATATAAGACAGAGAAGCTCCTTATACATTTGACTAATAAACAAACTATATACATATATGTGTATATATTTTGTAATTTTATATACATATATGTATATAATATATAATTCTTTACAGGATTTGAAGAATTTTGTATATAGGCTCCCAAGTATATATGGTTTCCTTCCAGAATATAACTCGATTCTTACTTAAATAATTTCTCATATGAGAATTAATTTATCATTGCGTTTAACATTATTTGCGTGTGATTGAAACAATTAATTTTTTCTTTGAAATACGTATCTTGTCGGTGTCCGATGTCCAATGTCTGTGCTTTCGAAGGAGCTGCAATCGGTATGTACGTTAAAAGTTTTCATCTTTATCGTTCAACTTACCGACGACAGTATCTCGTCGGTGCTCAATTACATTACCAAGAGAGCACAAATTTTTGACGTAGTTATAAAGAGTGGCGATAGGTGTGTTTGTGTACAGAAGTATTCGATTGATTATATGGTTAGATTAGTTAGGTTAGAGTTGAGTAGACTTTTTACTGACGGTCCTCGTAATTTTTATTTTGAAAACGATACGCACGGAATGATAAGATCCGCTCACGCACTGTAAGCTCGAGTTAGATGTCTCAAGATATACAAGGAAGATTCGAGTGCGATGGTTATCTGTACATCAAACCACTTTAATTAATGTGCAATTGAAAACCTAACCTAACCTAATCCTGTACAGCGATTCGAATTTGGAAAATATATAAATAATGCAGTTGCATTTGACAACATTTTGTACGGCAATACTGATTTCTTTTTTGGTATCATGCGATACGTGGGAGGTACGCGTCTTTTACATTTAATTTTTCGATTTATTTTTCTGAAATTCTGTACTCGAGATTTCCTCAACATTTATCAAATTCATCTTTTATAGCTGCCGGATAACTTTGTGAAAACTGAACATTCCAATAATTGGGCCGTTTTGGTCGATACATCACGTTTCTGGTTTAACTATCGACACGTCGCAAATGTTCTATCTATTTACCGAAGTGTGAAACGATTAGGAATACCAGATTCACAAATCATTCTCATGATAGCCGACGATATGGCGTGCAATCCTAGAAATCCTAGACCAGCGACTGTTTTCAACAACATTAAGCAGCATATTAATGTTTATGGTGATGATGTAGAGGTCGACTACAGAGGTTACGAAGTGACAGTAGAAAATTTTGTAAGGCTGCTAACCGGTCGTCTAGCTCAGGAAACCCCAAGATCGAAAAAGCTACTAACGGACGAAGGATCAAACATTTTAATTTACTTAACTGGTCATGGTGGTAATGGATTTTTGAAGTTTCAAGATTCCGAAGAGATCACTAGTCAAGAATTGGGGGATGCATTGGAACAAATGTGGCAAAAACGGAGGTACCATGAAATTTTATTCGTGGTCGACACTTGTCAGGCGAGTTCCATGTACGAGAAATTTTATTCTCCAAACATATTGGCGGTCGCTTCCAGTTTAGTGGGAGAAGATTCACTTTCTGTAAGTAAAAAGTATTTTTAACTTTGCTACAAATATACTTTATCGCCGTCTATTCTAACACCAGTCATATTTGCAGCATCATGTGGATCCTGCCATTGGTGTCTACATTATAGATCGATACACTTATTATGCATTGAACTTTTTGGAAAAAGTAGAACCATCCAGCACTAAGACATTGGGTGAATTTGTAAGTGTCTTGCTATAATGCTAAATTTAATGTTCCTTTCTTTTCTACCACATTGATTAATTGAAATTAATATTTTTCAGTTGAAAGTATGTCCAAGAGATTATTGTCTATCCACAGTCGGTGTAAGAAGAGATTTGTTTAGAAGGGATCCAGATAAAGTACCAGTAACCGACTTTTTTGGTTCACTTAGGCCTGTTGAATTAACGGCAAATATAATGAATATTTTACCTATTAAATCTAATCGTTCAAAAACTCAGGAATTTGAAAGAAAGTATAATTATGTTGCACAATTTCCAGAAGTATCTCAGTATACATGATTAACATGAATAAAAATGAAATATTTCTTACAAAACATTTAGTGTAATTAACATTTAATTCATTACTTGGGAAGATTGTAGAAGATGATGAATTAGGTGATTCCAATGGACTTTATGGACTTTATTGCAAATATACATACAAATAAATGTTATACAGTATTATAAAGAAAAAAGAAAAGAATGTAGAGAAATGGGTTCATATAATTTTATATATTGTGTGTGCATGTGTATATATTATATATATACACACATTTGAGTACATAAAATGAAGAGCACATTTATTTCATCTGTATAACAAGTAGAAGCACCATGGAAGTGTACAGCATGACTATTTATTATCGTTTATTATTGTTAGTTGCATCCTTCAACGAGATTTTTGTAATTACAAGCGTTGATTTGGGGATCGAAGGCTAACCCACTTGCACAATTGAATTTTTGTACTTGATAAACGCCATTCACATTTTGACAATGGTAGAATATGCCGCAATCTTTTTCATCGCGGACGTAACCGTCCTTCTTGCAAATACCACTAGGAGGTGCGGTCACTGGTGGTTGCGTTTGTGGTGGTTGCGTCGTTTGCGGTGATTGTGTCGTTTGCGGAGGTTGCTTGGTTGGTGGTTCTATTGGGACTTGTCTCTTAAGTCCGGTATTCAATGCTTTCAACAGAGGATACTTTTCACCACACGTGCCCAAAAAGTCGTCAGTCTCAATACTCCACAACATCGCGCCACCGAGATTCAAGGAATTGATGTAAGCAGTCTTCTCGGTAAGAGAACTGTGCACACGTGATTACATTATATATATTATCATATTTTCGTTCATTTTTTTTCAATTAACTTTTAATTTCTATTGAAAAAGAGATCAAAATTATATTACTAGAGAGAACACTATATTACATTGAATTAATAAAAATTAATTACGATAAGAATTGTAAAGGGATAGAGGAAAGGCCCGAGGAAAATAGTTACCAATTACTAATACATTGCACTTACGTTACGTCGTCGTAGCCCACCCACTGGTCGCCCTTGTAAGCGTACGGAGTGCGATGCTCTTCCTGACGAACAACGGTCCAGCCACCCTGTTTGAAGAACTCGCAAATCTCATTGTATCCGTAAAAGCCAGCCTCGCGAGTGTACGGACCGGCAGAAGCTGGTCCGGTGGTAGGGGCTCCAAGACCATTCTTACTCTTGTCTGCGAGAGTAAAGGCCCTACCGTAGAATGGTACTCCGAGGATCAGTTTCTCGGGCGGACAGCCGTTGTCCAACCAGTAGCGTACAGATGCGTCCTGCAAGAAATGAATGTGTTATTTTCTTTAAATTGTTCGCTGGAACAATTGCACGGTATTGAAAATAATATATAATTTCAAATGTCACAAATAATAGGAATTTTAACGCTTACGACGTTGAGCTTAAGATCGTTTCCAGATTCATCCTTGCGCGGATAAAGCGGAGCGTTGTGACCAGTGGTCTTTTCCCAAGCACCATGGAGATCGTACGCCATAATGTTGATGAAGTGCAGATATTTGGACATCGCGGCAATATCGTAGGACAGAGAGGCGGAAGTCTCGGCGGCAGCGACGGCAGCACTGAGAATCAGTCCATGTTTGTCGAATTCGGCTCTGAGTTCCTTCAACAAGCTTATATAGTTCTGGATGTCCTCCGGTTTTCCACCACGCTGATTCGGGTATTCCCAATCGACGTCAAAACCATCGAACCCGTATTTCAGCACAAAGTCAACGGTATTCTTGACGAATCTCGCACGAGTAGCTGGATTAGCGACAACAGCGGAGTATCTTGCGGATCCCTCATTCCATCCACCGATAGCGATGAGCGTTTTAGTCTCGGGACTCTGTTCGCGTAGCTTGTTGAATCTACCGAAGGCGTCCTTGCCCCAATTGTCGGGAAGATCCTGCCACGCGTCCAAAACTCGGATGTTGCCGTCTTCAGTGATGCCGACGAAGGTATAGATCATATGGGTGCAGAGTTTCGGCTGAATGTATGAGATGTCGAATTTGCCACCAGGAGGCCGATAAACGGCCCAACTACCAAAGTAACATACAACCTTCTCTGAAAGAGAATTAGAAAAATATTATTACAATGGTAACATGCACATTTATTACTTAACAGATAGAGAACGCTTTTTTTTTTAATCTTTTTAATTGATTCATCCTTTAAGCGATATACATACACGCGTGCGTATTTTTTAATATATATATATATATATGGATACTTACTTTCCGCATTGGCAACCGAAGCCAAAGCAGCTAACGCCGCGAAAACGAGTAACCAACGATTCATCTGCAAATTAATTCATAATTGACAAATGTAAATTTATATAACGCTCCAAGTTTTTCATTCTTGGAAATTCTTCTATTTTAACAAGTATTAACAAGTGTTGCATTTAACATCTCAAAAGTCCATTACGCGAGATATGATGCATATTCGTATCTCAACTCATAAAAAAATTAACGTTTATGAAAATTGCTATCAGTCATTTTTTATACGAAATAAATCGATTATCAGAGTGTATATTATTCTTACCTCGTAACCAGAGTCGATTCCTTCAGTATTGGCAATGCAATATCAAAATTTTATTCGCACATGCGATATATATATATACTCTATCAAATGCAAAATAATTTTTGTTTAATCATGATAATATCGATAAATGCGAATATAATTCATTCGTGCACACACAAATATATATACTTATCCAATTATTACCGTGAAAAAAAACACGCAGGTGTGCGTAACGTAATTATATAATTTTGTTCGACACTTGATTCTACAATCAGTCCGCAGATCTGTCCGAACACCTGTGCCATTTGGCAAGTAAAAGTATTTTTTTTGTATGCTTCATATAGGTGATTGTTATTGAAATCAAATCCATTTGAATTCATAACGTATAACGAAAATGATCAACGGAACATTGGCGACGCGTCAACATTCGATCAACATTTTACTGCACTACAAAGATTATAAAAATCGAACGAGTGAACAGCTGTATTTTTACATTTCTAAAATTTCATAGCATATATAGTTATGAAATGATACGTCTACAGTCGATGATCCTGTATGTATTTTATTACAATTAACTGCGTATCGCACAATTATTAATTAACTAATTGTAAGTATCGAAAGAGAGAGAAAGCGCAGAGCTTATTGCAATACTGCTTCTTTTACGTATCGCTTTTTCAACATGTTTTGCTAATAAAAAAAATCTTAATTGCTGCGCTACGTCGTCACAAACGTTTATTGTTACATAAATATCCCGCAAGTGCAAAACATTATCTGATATCATTGTATAAATTTGCATTCGATCTCACGTATCATATAATTCAATAAATTGTGTGCAACGAATGAATATACGATCACAACATATAGATATAATAATCAATGTGTAATCAGTAAAACAATGACGAATTATAAGAGATCAGGGAAAGAAGATACATCGAGAGGGCAAATAAGAGATGATAAGTGGCGCTTTAAATAAAATATAATATTTTAAGAACATTGATCACAGATATGTTTTATATATGTATAATTCGATAAGCGCGTAGCCAAATAAAAAAACGTAGCAGCTCGGGAGAAAGGGTAGAATCCACAAATTCTAGATAACGTCGGCCCCCAGCGAGCTTCTCGAAATATCGCGGCCTTTGAATTATTTATACTTTCCGTATGAAAACCCTGCACGACAGCGGTACAAAAATAAAAGCAGCAGAATTAAATTAATTACCTTGAATTTGATTAATTGTCAGTCAAGTTCAGACGCGTTTTTCCGTTATATGGGACTGTTTATCGATTATAATGGACACACACAGAGTGCTTAACGAACGGCGCAGGCACTGCGGTGACCTGTGCCATTCATACATTCGTACAGAGGAAAGATTCATCGGTGTGATCTTTATATAGATATACGTATCTTGAAGATATTTCCAATAGCTAAAACAAATAAATTAAATCATACGAATCGTGACATGATAAGTTTTTCCTACTATCGATACTACGAGACAACGCCCGGTCAATTTATTTAATGACGAATCCAATTTTAATGTTCGAGTTTATTACGCCGCGCGCTTATCATCACACTTTTATCTTTAATCCTTGCCGACTATGGCGATAAGTAAAAGATACGGAAAGTAGTACGATACAATATAACGATATATTTGCGCGATTGGTCGGGAAATTGGTCTGTTTTTCAAGACAAGCTAGGTACGCGTTAAGACGTGATATATTGTGTTTCATCTTATTTTTATTCATTTTCATTCACTCTTTATACTTTATGTTGATTTACAAGAAGTAATAATTTTCAACACTTTTCAAATGTCAAGTACAGTCAACAGACTACGTGTGCGCGATATATACATATATATATATACATATATATATATATATATATATATATATATTTTTTACAAAAGTAACTTAAAATTTTTTGGTTGCCTTTTCTTTATTATTTTTTCTCAAACCGAGTAATCGCAATCTTCTCCAATACTGTTTTGTATTTGGATCCAATTCTTCCAAGGGTGGTGGAGGGCCAGTTCTGATGCTCCACAACCAACTAGGATATTCGGAATCTGGTTTCAACTTGACGTCTTCTCCTCCCTCCTTATAGATATTTGTACCGCACACGTGAGTCAGAAGCCTGTTTACATCCGTTTCAACGGGCAATATTTTTTTCTCTACCGCAACCAATGTCTTCTTTGATTTCTTCACACCTGGTCGAATCGCTGTAAAAAGCAAGTTACATGTTAATTTTTTATTTCAATCTCTAATGCACGTTTGCGTTATACGATTGTAATTTTAAAAACTCAGTTGTAACTAGAAAACAAAACTATAACTGTAACCATTATAATTGACAGTGATAAAACGGTCAGCCTTATCGGTCGAAATCCTTGTAAAATTGAATTTTGCAACGTGTATAGTTTTGTTTTTGACAATAGCTCCGAATATCGATTGAGATTTGACAAGCGTACGTAATTTGAAAAAATATTCTCTGACGTAACCTCAATCCTGAATGCGATCAGTGATGAACGATCGAACGTATGTGTGTAGACACATCGGCGTGACCTTTTCTTACCTGGTCCGGCGTATCCTTTCGTTTGTATCGTATATCGAGTCGGTGTTATGCAGTTTCTTGGAAAATGAAAAATCCGGTAAACAACGGCGAAATTCATCTTGTGTGTAGTAGCTTTTTCTTCTTTCCTTATTCCTCCTCTCGCACGAAAGTCAAGCCGGCCAGATGTGTAGTAAAGCGGTATAGCGATATCTCAAGATACATATACAATCTGACATAAAGTTATGTACCATTTATTCAATAATATCCGACGATGTTTAACAGACCTAACCTAGCTGGACCTGCCGGACCTACACATGTCTAGACTCGGACCTTGGAGAGGGGGGTGGCGGGCCGGGTAAGGCAGTGCAGCCAACGTGATCGTGAAGCGCAAAATTATTTACGCAAATTCTTGCCGCTCTTTTCCGCTCCGCGCCAATGTGAACCCTCCCTAATGTGTATATTTTCATTAATTGCATATACATATGCGCAATGACAAGGATGACAATGTTGCTTATCTCGACGTCATAACTCGAATCTCGAACGGTACTTAGGACACGCAATTGATATCCAACAATTAAAGTATATCGCAAAAATGTGAAACGCTGCCAAATGTTTGATACGAAATACGCGAATTCATTCTGTTCGATTATGTAATGCCATTGAGCAACGATACTTCGACGCGGGTAAGAGAGTCGTGTGATTTTAAATAAAATATGAAATTCAAAGTAGCTATTTATTTGAATAAACTAGTTGAATAACATTTCTGCTCTAAAGGTAACGTAAAAGGAGCAGTGTAACGTTTTTTTGTTTTCCGATCCGTTGTAGATTAGGTTATATGTAGTAAGGCTTCTCTCATACTTTAACCTAATAACCTGTTCCTAATTCCCTTTTCTCTTTGGCCGCGTTTTTGCAGACGAAAAAGGTATTGTTTGATGCGAAAAGTAAAGCGACTGCTCGAAATAGTGTCCCAGAGGAGAATCAGTTTTTGACAATAGCAGCTGCTTTACCAATTTTGCCAGGTGCACCAGTACCTCCAAAGCTGTCAAAGCGTTGTTACAATTCATTTAGGTAACTACCTTTACTTTAGTCTGGTTGGCGAAATAGCCAAATTCAGTCAGTCAGTCAGTCAGTTTTATTATTACACGACACGTATCGTTTCGAGGCATTTGTACGTTGGAAATGATTGGTTTGGTATTGATAGTTGTACTGGAACCCAATTTGACATTGAACATGCAGAAGCAGAAGGATGCAACGTGGTTACGTTACAATGGACCGGAGAGGCAAGAACGATCGTGGCGTCGAGAACTTCTGCCGAACGAGAAAAGAACCCTGACAGAATATGTCTCGATAGGCGAGGTCTGACAACATTTCCTAATGTCATTGGAGAATCCAAATTGCGATTAATGTCTCTTCAGCATAATCTGCTGACCAAGATTGAGAGCTCCAATTTCTCTCAATTGACAAAGCTCGTATTTCTTGATTTGTATGACAATCAAATAGAGAAAGTATGCGATTTTGATCTTTTGGAGAATTTAAGAGTACTCTTATTAGGGAAAAATAGAATAAGAAAAATTGAAGGGTTGAAGCAACTTTTGAAATTGGAAGTTTTGGATTTGCACGGCAATCAAATCCAACAAATTACGGGCTTGGAGAATTTGTCGTCGGTAAAAGTACTGAATTTGGCAGGGAATAATATCAAAACTATAGGATGCAATGATTTTCAAGGTTTAATCTCGTTAAAAGAATTAAATTTGCGGCGGAACAAACTAAAAAAATTGTTAGGATTTGACGGGACACCACAATTACAAAAATTATATTTGAGTAACAATGATATTCATAAGTAAGTATTTTGATGTTTTATTTAATTTGTAACATTTAATTGCACACGCTTGCATACAAACTTGCATCTATAAGTTTCATTTTTAGATCAGTCGATCTCACGCTTGTATATGTAAGCTTAATAATTGTGTGCACGCGCGCGTACATGCATACGTACAAATATCTGTATACATATAGGCCGAGTTGTTTTAATGTTTCAGAATTGAAGATATGAGTAGCCTTGCAAAAGCCTTGCAAATTAAAGAAATAACAATAGATGGTAATCCAGTGACTTTAAATACTGATTATATCTCATTTCTCGTTTCGTACTTGCCAAATCTGCAACTTTTATCAACAATGCAAATCAGCGAACAAATTCGGAGAACAGCGATGGCTTGGAGATTCTCTAAGGAACAATCCAATTCGGCATTCCTTGATCTTAGTACACAAGTTTGTATGAGCGTACGTAGAGAGGAAGTGATATCAAATGCTAAAACAAATTGGGAATTTCTCAGATCTAGAACGAAAGTTTCGCATGACAATTCCAATAAAGTAGCGAGCAATAATGCAGGCAATAACATTAATATATTATTACGTACACAGAGTTCAAATAAATTCAATGCTATAAAGAGTTTAGACAAAGCTAAAATAAAAGGTTTTGGTAGTCTCACGTCGATAAACGAAAATATGGAAGCACGAAAGATACATATAAAAAAGAGAAGCTCTTCTAGCGAGAATTTGTTTAAATTGGAGGATACATCTAAATCATATCCTTTGGAATTTAAACTTCCACCTATACTAGATTCGATAGTAAATAGTTTGACAAGCAATAAAATCGAAAATAGATTATCTAAGACTAAAGAAAATGAGCGTAAGATGAAAATGCTCGGTGAAGATGTCGAGAATGCATCGGATAGCGAGACAGACAGTTCGCAGAGTCATGAAAGTTTGAAGAGTGGTTTAAAGTGTCATCTATTTACTCCTAACATGTATGGCTCATCTATAGATTACGACAAATCTACTGTCTGTAACGAATTTACTGTAGCGAAGGATGTGTTCTCGATTAACGCAGAAAATTTTTATATTAAAGATAATGAAAACTATACGCACAATAAGGATCAAGCACTTGTTACTGCCCAAAATAACTCTTTAAAATGTCACGACGCAGTGCGAAACGAGAACAAAGGCTTAAATAATAGATCGTTTCAAAATACAAAAGTATTTTACGGCCGAGATGGACAGGATGACTGTCAATCAAAATCGACCGCAAATTCTTCAGGATATTGCTCTTTGAGTTCTAAGACTAGTAGCGTAGACAGTTGTAAATCATTGTTGAATGATTCTGGCGTTTCATCGATTATTAAAAACGCTCACAAGTCTCACGAATGTGAGATAAAGGATAAAAATAGAATTAAGAGTGCTCAAACGAAAAAGATAGTATATTATAAGAGCAACAGAGCTGCAACAGCGAGGGCGAAATTTAGAGCTCTTGCTCCGCCAAGTCCACCTCCTCAACAAGTACTGCCTAAAGAAAGGGAACAGGGTAGGCCAAGATTTTGATTTTTTTTTAAATAATTTTCTCTTACATATTTGAAATGAAAATAAAGTGTAAAATGAGACGACTTTTTAGGCGGGGATTATTTAATAGAAATCATTGGTCGATGCCTAAATATATATGGTCAAGGCGCTTTACGCTTTATAGATAGAACTTGGGACATGTCAAAGGCTCAAGATGTCAACGTCGTAAAGTTTAATTATGTACAGTTTAACGATGTGGCAAAAATTTTGAATAAACTAAAAAATAGATTTCCTAATGCGGAGCATTTCGTGTTTAAAGAAACCAACATCAATCTTCTTGGTCAATTAAATGCCTTAGCTGAGGTACAGGGATTGACCAGTATACAGATAGATGCAGGGGGGAATCCTATTGTGTCTAAGGACTGGAAAATGTATGCTATATTTCGATTAGCCCATTGGGGACTTGCAATTATCAATGGCAAAGAGGTACAATATATGAGATATATAAACTATATATTTATCGTAATAAATCGTTTAATAATAAATCATTTTAATGAAAAAAAAAGAAAACGTTAAAAATACTCATGCGTGCAAACATCAAAAAGATTTTTTATCTTCTATTTAACTTTCTGACGGATTCTTTTCAATGAGAATTTTTGTAAAAGTGGATTAATACGTTCTTTACTGAAATAAAAATTCAATATTTTTCTAGATTACAGCTGAAGATGTGGAACTTGCAAATCAAGAATATACCGGTCTTATAGATATAGTAATGTGTTCACTGCCAGATTCTTTATTACAACCTTTGTTACAAAGACTTCATTTAGAGAAAGTGCAAAGACAAAGCGGGGAACAAATTACTGCCAAACAATTTCTGTTCAACTGTGACCCGGCGCTTCGAAGTGTTGTTGCCAAGGAGGCGTTACAATGGAGAAAGGGAAATGTAACGCAGGTAATGAAAATAAAAACAAAAATATTACTACTTTTTATAACAAGACGTTTTATGCTAAATTATACGCTAGCTCAGAGTATAAATTATAATATAATTGCAACGCAAATTGCAATTGTTTATAGGAAGACCTTATCTGGAGACACAAAGGAAAAGTACACTTGCTAAATTTAATCAATCTCACTATAAATGCTATACGCAAGTTACAGATTTTAGAAAAGCAATGGCCATGCGTTCTGTATGAAATCATTCATAATACTCTATCTGATTTTTCTGAAATGGATGTATACATGAAACGTTGCAGTAAAACGCTCGAAAGCAATAAATAACTTCATGTCCGTGGCTTAAAAGGTAATGTGTGTGTGTAAAATAAGGTTTTATATGTATAAAAAAGTAATATGTACACACACACACACACACACACACACACACACACACACACACACACACACACACATACACATACATACATACATACACATTTCTCTATTGCGATATTTCACAACGTATGGTTTCTAATTTGATTATATTATATCGCAGAATAATAAATTTGACTTTGGTATGTTAATATATTGGAACGTACAACAAACGATTTTATATTGTTATTGCTATAAATTGAATACATATTTGCTAGAATTGTGGTATTCGTGTATAAAAACAATAAATTGTATATAAGTATTAATAGTTCTCTCTTCTTGAACATATAATCGACGAAAGTAAGATGTACTTTATTATGTGATATAATATTAAAAGAATAATAAATAACCGCGGTTAACATACATATATTCGTGAAAATAGTTTGCACAATGCTCATAAAAATGTCATTTCTTTATTATATACGTACTATTGTATACTGATAAGATTATTAATTTCTCTAGGTTTCTAACCGTTTGAATACCAATGAACAAGATATTTTACTCTATTTTACTCTATTCAAAAATTTAGTATTGTACTACTATATGTTTTATGCTGAAAGATAAGTGCGACTCGATCATTCGGATGTATAGTATACTAACTCACACTACAGTAGTCGTACATGATGCCGTATGAATGATGCAATTGTGATATTTGCGATACAATTGGCAAGAGATACATACAGATTGCCGGATTATCGAAATCCGAATAGCCCGCTGGTACTCAAACTATTAAAATATACAGGTATATAGGATAATATTATTTCGTGCCGATAATAGATTCGACGCTGAAAGAAATTGGCGCTTTTTTTTCTAAACAAGGTTTATTATTGATTGTAGTAGGACAGCTCCGCAAATCTCTCGTAGAAATAAAATTGTTCAAGTCCCCATTCGCTATGTACGATTGCGTTACCTCATTGAACCACGGAACCATTGTCGGGTATGCAGAATGGAAAGATTGTACCTTTAGTGTGGGTTCAGCTTGTTGTTTTTGATCGCACTCCAAAGAAGATAAAGTGCTCAGTAAATGCGGATGTGCTGATACTGAAATATGCAGGATCTTTCGTAAGTAAAAGTTTGACGCAAATATATGTTGTGTATTTCTTGATTAAGAGATTATTTGTTTTAAATATTTACTATTTGATAATCGATTTTTAATTTGATATATCGGTCAGCAATATATCAATAACAAGACCATTTTTCATTAATATTAATATATTGGAACGTCCAACGAGACGATTTTATTTTGTTATTGCTATAAATATATTGAATACATTTGCTAGAATTATGATATTCATGTATAAAACAATAAATTGTACATAAGTGTTAATAATTGTTAATAGTTACTTGCACATATAATCGACAAAAGTAAGATATACTTTATTACATGATATATTATAAAGAACAACGATTAACATTACATCAATAATAAGATTTCTCAAACTATATCGAAAGAATACACTTGAAAAGATAGAGAAACATAAAATTGGGTATAATAGATCGGAATATTTTCGAACCCTTACATTTACAATATGTATTAAGTCTCTTCAGCTGTCTATCAAACTTTTACAAATAAAAACTTCAGCAAACATGAAATAATTAACGATGTCTGAAGGGTAGCGTAGTACGTTTGGAGTATCATTTAAACGTATCAACGCGTATATTATGATAAAAATATTGCTACATTTATTTTCGGACAATTTATTTTTGCGCGCGATAAAACTTGAGGGTTTACAGAAGAGAGTTATCAAGTATACTTACGTGCGCCAGGTAAACTGTGGTGTACAGCATTTAATCCATAGAAATCCTGCGTCACGCTGATACTCGTCTGCGTGAAATGTAAATGATGCCTTTGAAAATTCTTGGTTCTTCTACCGCAGGCAGGTTCGTCATATTTTGCCTTAGTGTAATAAGGACTTACGGTGTCCGCTGATATTTTATTTATTGAAGACAAAAGATTGTCGCCCTGTGCTTGTTGTTGCCTACGTAGAGCAACTTGCGCTGCCATCACCCGCTGCCTTTCGACGACTAGAAGACAACAAGGACATCGGCAATCTTTCCATGCGCAGGATCTCTTGTGACCTTTTAAGCCGGATATTACACCGTGGTTCCGACATCTCGCGCACTTCGGACTTCTTAAACGTTGCTCCACATTTGTACTCAAACGACTTGAAGTGCCTCCGTTAGTTTTCATTCTGATTTTGATATTATCTTGAAGGAGAGAGAGAATGACACGTGTATTTAACGGATGGATTATAATATTATATCAATCTCGATTAAATCTCTTGCGAAATTTGCGAGAAATATTACTTTCAGAAATATTATTTAAAATGCACGATCGACATTAGACACATTTGTTTCACAGTATACACAATATACATCTCATTAACATGATAATTCGCACGTCCAACAAAATCCGCAAATTGTACTGTTTGAAATATTCTGTATATGTGTGTATAGATCTTGTTCCTCGTTATTACTGATTGTTCTCAAGTGACACAGGAAGCTTTGCACATATGCTATATATATGTTTTTTTGACATGTGCGAAAAGTTACTGTTTTTTTTTTTATGTACCGCGCTTTTCTATTACTTTGATAAAACTTGCCTAAAAATTTCGATCTTTTCGATATTTTTGTTTAGCGCTGTTACATCCGTTCGACTCTTCTTAAATACTTGACTGAATTGTGGTGACTGAGAGTTACCCGTTTTGTTCGAGTAGAGATACGTACTCATAAGAGTATTTCTTGTCTTTCGAGAAGGAGGTGTCGTCTCATCTCCTCCTACTGTGATTCAAAATGTATTTTTAGCAAGCCAACGTATTCCCATTGGCTCGAAATCTTAGGAAACTCCGCCGCTTTCGTCGGCTGTGAACCAATGGATCACTATGTTTCTCTTTGCGCTTTTGATACGAGAGTTGCTTTACGAGAGAAAAATCCTTCGTTAACGGGGATAGCTTCTTTGATTATTATTTATAATTCTCAAGATAGAGGAAACGTATCGATACCTTGTCAGATCCGAAGACTGACATGTGTACAATACACATGTTAATGTATTTGTACGCGTTCCCGCGTATAGGATCAAGTTTAAATTTCTTGGAAATTTCTATTATCGTACAATAGGTCAATAGAATACAAGAATTAGATTTAATTTTAATAGCCTTTTTTTTAAATCCTCATTTTAATAGCCCAATCAATTTCAGTCCAATTGTTACCATTCGCATTCGTTTGAAAAAAAATCTCGTTCTTGAATATCTCTTTTTCTAGAAGACGTACTTTTAAATTTAACCCCGGGCCATTTACACTTTTCTATATGACTCTCTAACGACATTCATTCTCATATATATTTCCTGATGCTAATTCTTGACATTTAATTCTCGATAATTATACGACAAATACTTTTGTTTCATCTTGTCTAAAAGAAAAAGAAGAAGATAATGGCGGCATTAAAATTAAATGATGCCAAACCGACACCAAGAGGGCTGCAATATCTTTTTAGAAATAACGTTGAGTACGCAGGATGTTAACCAGGTGGTTATCGAGAAAGGAAGAGATCGTGGTGTCACTCATACATTGAGAAAACATACTCGAAACTAATATTAACTGTGTGTTGGCAACATCCGAGAGGATCGTATTAACGAGCTCTTAGAGTAAGATCACAGAAAGAATGCCATATGGTTGCAGCTGCTGGCGCACAACGTTGTTAGTAGAGAGAGAGAGATTGTCTGTCTTCTATTTTTGCGGTGCATAACACGATCCGTGAACAAGGCAACGAAAGAAATCGCGTTATTATTACATATTAGTCGAATATAGGTATCTGCTAATTGTTGCTGCCGACAATTAAACATTATATTTTATGTATATAAGTTTTCTTCTATTGAAAAGAAATTCACGTTCATTTTTCATTGAAAGAATTTTCTTTCTGTTTACATCTATTAAATAATTTCTTGAATTCAAGGTGCGCGTTATTTTATATATATAAATCAAAGGAAAAAAGAATCCCCATTAGAGCCGACGCAGTAATTAATAAAGAATACAAGCTTTATTAATAAAATAAAGCCACAAATAATGCATAAGTTTTGACCCTTAGTTTAGGTCCTTTTCAATGCCGAGAAGGTGTTACATTAAATTAATAGTTCTTTCGTTGTAGTTCGCACGGTTCGCAAATCCAGCAAGTCTGCAGGTACTTCTTGCTTGCACCGTACCTGACTTGCTGTTGGATTTGCGAACCGTTCTACAGCGAAAGAACTATTAATTGGATGTAACACCTTTTTGGCATTGAAGAGGACCCAAAATCAAGAGTCGAAACTTATGCATTATTTGCGGTTTTATTTTATTAATAAAGTTTGTGTTCTTTACGCACAAATTACTGCGCCGGCTTTAATGGGCATTCTTTTTTCCTTTTGATTTATATACCTAATTATTCTGTTCTCGATCAACTAACACGATATATAATCGTATGATATTTTTAATTATATACGATGTTCTATGTTCAATCATGATATTTTAACTACAAGTTGAGTGATGAAAAGTCATCTATGTAACACGTCTTTTTCCATGAGATTTTTTATTCTCTAAAAATCATCCGGTTAGACAAGTTTAAATTTACATATGTCACGCGTGCGTACGTGCAACATACGTACACATATACATACATGCATACGCACACACAGCAGACAGTAGGCACGCGTGACACGCACCGAAGAATTTATTCTAATGAGCGTGGAACGAAGAGGGTGTCACTTTGGATGCTTTTTCTTTTCTCCTTGCCTCATAGGCAGTTCTGCCTAGGGGTTGTCAAGACGGCAAATATGTTGACAGGTCATTCAACATCTTTCTTGCTTTTCTTTAGTCGCATGATAGAGCCACAAGGAAGTTGAGGAATGGCTGAGATAATAAACTTTTACACTTATTTCTTATAGCGTTCCTTCGAAAACAAATATATCGATCACAAAATAATTAAGCAATCGAATATAGCGCAATTTTTGCTTATTTAATATAAACTAATCAAAATTTCTTTTATTTTCCAATACACTACAATTTTTCAATTACAATTTTTTAATTATATGAATTATTAGATTGTCTCTGTCTGTTAAATGGATGAACAGTAGCAATGCCCATAGCCTTTCTGTCAAATTTATTTTGATGTGATGTATACGTATATTACAATTAACTAGCACATACATATATATATGTATAATACAACATTGTCGATATACTAAAGGAATTTACAAATATATCATCAATTTACGAATAATAAATAAATAACTTAGGTGGCAATTTTTCTAAGATTTTTGACACGTCAAAATTGAAAGGCGAATTTATCATTTGTTTTCGTATATTTGTAACGTTTCGCATAATGTGGATTTTAAATCGCAAGAATAAAAAGTAGCAACTTATCTAAATAATAAATTATATCAAACGAATTAGCGTTGACTCACAATCAGTGGCTTGGAGTCTCGAACACTCGCAATGCCGAATTGCATGATCAATCTCACTTGGTACCTTGGAAAGTTTATTATCGGATTTACCGGAATATTATTTCTTTACGTCAATTTCTTGAAAGAGAAGTAAACATCTTCGACGTATAGGCTAAACCGAACCGAAATGATGAATAGTGCAGAAGTCTAAAGTAATCCTGTTTTTATCCGACAGTGAGACAATAAGCTGCGTGTGCGACACTATAAGAATGAGAAAATTACTGGGGGAGAAAAGTGAAAAGTGAGTCACGCTGGTCATACACGAGCGTATTAAAGCTTTTTATAGATTTTTTCTTTTTTTCTTTTTCTTTCTTCCGGAATAGTGAACGATAAATAAGTATATCTATAAAGTAATAATAAATAAAACAAATATGAACGCGTCGATAAGCTTACATGTCTCTCGAAATTGCTTATTTAACGAAAACACAGAAGGATTACTCTTTGTGTATGATCGGCGATATTACGACAATTTTAATCATTTTATTATTCATCCACTTACCCTCATCCACTTACCCTTTCGCGCATTTGCATCTATTCGGCCGCCTAATTGAAAATTAGTACTGCATACGTTATGTTAATTTTAATAATGAAATTAATTGCTTATTTAACGAAAACACAGGATTACGCTTCGTATACGATCGGCGATATTACGTCAATTTTAATAATGAAATTAAGCCAATCATGTACGAAGCTTAGTTTTGAGATGTTTGCTCAATTTAAAAAATCATTTTCATACTTTCTGTGTGTCTATAGTTTGGTGTTAAAGATAAATCATGGATAGTTTAAAGAAGTAAAAGTCTATTAAATGTATCCGTATCCATTGAAACAAGTATATTTCAGTAAACAGACGTACCCGTTTATTTTTTAAGAGTGTTTTTTTACACTTTTTTTAATTTAGTTGTTTTTTTAAACTTTACAAATCCTAATATATATATACATATAAAAAAATAAACAAAAAATCAAATCATGCGGTTATTAAAAAAAAATAGTGCTTTAGTTATTGATCTTTTTATTTAATACAGGATGCAAGGTAAACGTTATTCATGTGGATGCAACAAGCCAATGCGATTGTGAGTTTTCTTCTATAATTAATTTGCATTAATTCGCAAAGACTAATATATGTTTATTATAATGTTAATTAATATAAAATATTCTTAATTTCACGCTCTCAGGCATATACATAAAATGCATAATATATATATAAAATATTTAATTTATTTACGTGAATCGATTAAACTTCTTCTCATAATTCTCTACTAGAACATGGAACGGTGATATGGTACCGGCGATTTCAAATGATTTTATTAAGCATAAGAAGTCTTGTTGCACAAAAAGTCGCTGTTGCACCAGAAGAAATTCTTGCTAAAAAAGAGAAGCGGTAATGCGACAGGTCTTTGTCTGATTGAGATATACTATAACTTTTATTAAAGATAAGATTTCTTACCTAGAGTTTTAGGCTTTTTCTTACGGAGTTATTCCCTTACGATTTATTCAATCGTCATCAATGTGTTAAATAATAAAGACAACAAGAAAATATAAAATAGATAGGCATATATGAGTCAAACATATGGTACGTAATTTCTTATATCAGTTAATTGTATCTATTATATTTAATCTTCCTTATAATTTTCTCATCGCGAACGTTTTGACCTCATTTAGACAATCATATTTTCTGCAATTCACACTGAATTAATTGTATAAAAGGGAAAATATGTCAATTACTTGCCCCAATTACACATGCATTCACGTAGGTACGCTTGAAATTACGTAAAAGACTTACTTATATTTTATATTTACAATATGAGTTCTGTGATGAGGCTTGCCTTTTGAGTGTAAGGCGTATTATTATGATAAAGGTCGAATAAATAAAGGAATTATGTTTCAATTATTAATTTATTGAATTATACAACGATGTCGATAGTGTCGACAGCATGCGGCATGTCAACATTGTCACAGGACTCACACAGGTAGTTATCGAGTTATTACGGCTATTGCCATTATGCGTAATTGTTCTATTATGCACAACGGACAGCAATAGTACTTCTTACGAGTATCTCTATCTATGTATAATTGGCAACTCGCGAGTTAGCTATTGAGAAATTCTATGAATAAATTTGACATACTATAAGAGAGTGACACGCCCGGTCGCACGCTCCGAAAATCCGAAACTCGATTAATACGCGTCCCATCTGTAGGTGAAGAGTCTATAAGTAGATCCTGCGCGGGCAGAACGTCAGTCATATTCGTATATTATTTACTGACCTCGTAGACACAAGACACCTCCTCGTTGCTAACGAGATGGTCGCTTGGTTTGATCGTGTGATGTATATACGTGTGTGTGTTTGTGTGTGTAAAATGATATATTTAATATATTTTCAGCAACTGCAAGAATTAGGATGTTTATTTGTCAATGTTGTTGATTGCAACGAAAAACGTAAAATATTTATTTTTCCTCTCTCCTCCTTCTCTTTCTTTCTCAAATTGATTAATCAGTTCTTTATGAAATTATTCGTTTCACATTATAGAATTTTATATCTACCTGTACAATTTTCCCTTCTTGTCATGTATTTCTCTTTTACTCAAATCAAAAGTTATTCTTAAAACGATAATTCTTGAAAGAAAGATTGGAAGTTGGAAGCGGTAAAAAGAAATTGAAAATTATTTGAAATATATCAATGATGGAAATATAATCTTTCGCGCTTATAACCTTTCGATGTATGCACCTCGAGTCTTTCCGCGATCTTTTGACGTTAATCTATATGCGAGATCTCTCTGAATGGCAGGCTTTGTAAGAGGAACGTCGCAGCTGCGTCTCTTTCGTATTTTGCGCGCATTCCGATGAAATAAAACGAGATGGGCAAGGGTAGCTGCTCAAGTCGAGAAGAAATATTTCGAAACGGGAAGATGTTAAATGAGGGAACTGTCCGACTGTCACTCTGCCTAGTACCTAGTTTCTCAGTGCTTCACGAAAATGTGAGTTAAAACGATCTCATGAATATATCGCAAGTTCGTCCGTCGAAAATACACATGTAACATTTCTTCGTGTTATGAAACTTTTGCTATATTTGTTTTTACACATCTTAGCATTATATGTATATCTTCAATTCAATTAATCAATCAGATAATTTGTAATTTCACATATTCGGCCATTTCGAAAACATTCCTCGATCCATTTACATTTAACGATTTTCGTGGATGTTTGTTCACGTATTTTCGCAATAATACTCGTCTCGTTATCTTCTACAAAGGCATGCGTAACGGAATTATCAATGTTGTCTTTAACTGTACCTGACATGAAACGGAACTTAAATTTAGCGCGGCACGATTGATTCTCAAAAAATCCAATTACATCTCTAAATAATGAATAAGGCGATATACTTCCGAACAATTCCTTATCCAGTTCTATCTGCTCAACGGTAAACTGATTGTCCGCAAGCTAGATAATTTGTAAAATTAAATTAGTGTGACGGTACACTTATATTTAATAATAAATTTTAATTTAGGTACCTCGAAAACAATCGGTTTCGCAATCTTGCCGAATGAACGCTTCAAACTCTCCTCATCTGCGTCATTAATGAAATTATCATAATATTCATCATAGTTTTCTGTAACTTGGTGTCTAGTAATGTCTCGGCTGCATAATAATTCCCATGGTAAAAAATTATTTAACGAGGCCCAGTCGGATTGATTAGTGACACGTTTAAACCAATCCAAAGTTACAACGTCGTATTTTCCACTGGATTTTATTACTTCTTTTCCTCGTATCTGAAAAAGTAATTTGCATTATTTGTACATAATTTGTTTTATTAATTGAATAACTATCAGACGCATTCAAATTTGAATTGCGCAATAGCAAAAGAAAGAGAAAATATATATGTATAAAATTTTGTGTGTGCATGCGTGCGTATTTCCTACCGTTCTATTATTGCCTACTATCACGCAAAAAGTTGTATTCATTGGATTCTGAACAATTTTTGCACTATGCTGCTGCAGTATTTCTTCAATTTGTTCCTTCGGTAATTCATCGACACCATTAATCACGCAAATTTCTTTTCCGTCTAATAGTCGCGTGAGTGGTACTATGCGCTTGCTGTACACGTTGTGTTCGATCGATTTATCTCGACTTGTTGTCTTTTGTAATTTACTCTTAGAGACCGGTACTTGGTCAATATCGTGCAGAGTAGCTTCCCGCTTAGTTAACTTTTGGATCATTTTCCCGTCCTAGAATAATTGGATTATTGTAAATTATAACTGAGTCACAGTAACTACTTTCGTAATATCGCATAATTTTTCGTTTATGAGTGGCATTCATATATACCTTGGCCAACGATAGAAATTCACGAGTAGTACATGTACTGTGCCAGGGCTTATCTGGCCTCACATTCATAACTCTAGGAAATCGTAAACTGTATCCAATTGGATATTCCTTACTACGTATCATCTCGGTCGCTCGTATTGTTAAAATTATAGAATGTTTTGGATAAATCCATAGATCCGGCTGATTTCCCTACAAGTAATATATAATATCTGTAAATCTGCAAACCGCGTATGTGTATTTACCGTTGTTAATTACGAGGCCCAGTCGGACCAATTAAAAAGTTATATATATATTGTGTGTGTGTGTGTGTGTGTGTGTTAAGAAAAAAATGTATATTGTATATATGCGTCTAATTTAAAATAATACGCGTAATAATTACGTAATATTTACTTTAGGACCAATGATATTTTCAGGATGTTCCTTGGTCCAATATGGTGCAAATTTCGTATGTAAATGAAGCAACATTTCATCCCCTATTCCAGAGCTTACAGATACGACAGAGAAAAATTGTGACGGATTTTCTCCTTCGTTTTTCGCTGATGCAGCAACACCCATCATAAAGCTTTTAATTTTTCCTGTATATTTGCCTTCTCCATAATAACCGCCAAGTACGATGAGGTCTATATCTTGTACTAAATTGTCAGAATACTGTAAAAATATGTACATCTTGATTGTTACTTTTGGATTTGTCTATATCACGTATTGACTACAGGCTGCTTGATTGTATGTGTGTGTGCGTGCGCGCATACTTTTTTATATATTTTTTTGTTGAAAATCAAACAAAATATATATCGTAAATTTAAAATTTTTATTTTCTGAATAGGCACACACATTCTCTCTCTCTCTCTCTTTCTCACTCACTCTCTCTGCGATCTATTAAATTTTTTGCAAAAACTCGGAATAACAATGTTAAACAATACTAAAAGAAAATCTTTCACCTCTGCTTTAATCTTATAACAACCGTTGCCATCTCGGACGTTTGGTTTATATTTCATATTATATTTCTTCACAACAAGTCCTTCCTCGTTATTACGGAGACATGTATTGAATGCCTCTATCAATTCTTCCCTTGTAGCAACAGTCAAGTAATTCATTAATCAATTTATAATTATAATTATTATCAACTTATTAAAAAAAAAATAATCCCGTATAGATATATACGGGATACGTTTATTATAGAATTATAAGAAAATAATTGTAAAATTTCAAAACAATATTGTTATTTATTAGCGACTTATTGTAACGTGAATTATCGTAATATTCTACCTGTTTGACGTTAAAGTAGATTGACATACAATTAGAGAACCTTCCTCTTCGGTGAACATATCCTTGAGAAGTTTTAATCGATCTTTATAAGGTGTATCAATGAGCAAGGTGTCATTATGCAGAATCACATCGAACGCGACGAAGCACGGCTGATGACGACTGGTCGCTGACAACTTTTTCACGTCAAGATTCATACCTTTTGTACTAAATGTCTTTTTCTCTTTATGCCAAGCCATTATTTCTCCGTCCAATATAAAAGAGTGACAATTCGGATTCAAACACCGCGTAAATACTGTGGTTAAAAAACCTATCGAAATAGCGGAAATATTAATAGCGGATAGTTTTAAAAATGAAATTTAAATTTTTTGAGTCCGATGTACGAGCGGCAATTAATATAATACCATACGAGAGGAAATCAGTATCACAAATGAATTTCAAGCACGCGAATGAATTTTTTTTTTTACATTTCATTTAATTTGAAATATTCACGTTGCCATACCCGAAGATCCAGTTTCTCCGTATCCAGAATTCTTTGTAATATCGAAACCTCTACGGGTCAAGTATTTAAATATTCCATCCTTCATATGGAGTTGCGATCTCTCGCCGTCGAATTTAGTTTGCACGTAGTACAAATCATTGCCCCGAAATAATTTGCTGATGTTTTCGATGTTACATCTCTCTAAGAGCATCGGTTTAAAATGCGAAAATATTTGTATGCCGCATTTTAATTTGATCTTAGGGTCATGTAACTCGTAACAAATCTCGCGTAGATCACTCGTCACGTCAAATTTATCATTAGCGTCGGGATGATAGACTTGAAAGAGATGATTTGCGATTAGTCTTCCGGTGCGTATCGCGGTATATAAATATAAATATAAATATGCGTATATAATATGTACATATACATATTTAACGAATTTTATTATCAAGCAAATTATATACGAACTGTGCAATATTCTTTCCGTTCCTATGCCAAGTCGTAAATTTTTAAGAACAATACGCGTCACCCACTTCATTTCGAATCCTGTAATCTGTCGAAAAAGTACTCGAAACATTTCAACTTTTTGCTCCATCGTTACGTGTGCGCTTTTCTTGGAGATACCATCAAGAAACGCGTTGATCCGCGCGATCGTAAATCCAGTACTGATTCGAGGTAACGTTTTATCCAATACGGAGTAAGCTCGGTCAGCGAAATCATTTCCTGTAAATTCTCCCGACGTGGATTCTCTAAAAAATTCGTTGCACATTTCTCTCAAAAAAATTTCTCTCAAAGAAACGTACGCGCGTTAGTGTCAGTTAATCACACGCACACGTATGCACACACGCGTGCGCGTGATTATTATTTATTGTTGATGTAAAATGTTTCGCTAAAAACTCGAGATGTTCATATACATATATTCCTATATATGTAAGATTTATCCAGCAAATCTAACAACGATTACAATTACGAGATACTGACCGATAATTTGCCAACTTTTTATAACTGTCACTATTTTTTGCAAAACCGCATACACGAGCGTAAAGATTTGCCAGCGAAGTTTGCTTCAAATTATGCGGTCCACGCTGTCGTTCAAGATGGGGCAGTATCAATCTTAATATAGGATAGAGTGATATATCCTAAGACAAAATTATATTATTATATAATATATACACACACGCAATAGCACATAACATATAGTACCAATTTACATACCGATTTAGGATATTCTACTTTCAATTTATCGCCAATACACCGACATTTATCGAAGAACGTTTGCAAAATTTGCTCCTTCTTTTTCACATCACGTGCCTTAGCAACATCTTCCAATGTATCGCATAATTGTTTAAATTCAATTTTGGTTTCTAAATCAACGGCCATTACTCTAAAGAAAATTTAAATAGACTAGATTTTTTATTGTGGTTTGAAGCCTTGTCGGAATTTTTCGTCATCTTGAAAAAAATTATATACTTTGTTATTATTTATTAATAGTAATAACCTGCACGTAGCGATAGCAAAGATGCGTTTAAAAACGATATAAAATGAGATTGTTAGAGCCGAGAGGGAGAGTATCGGTTGTACGTCTTCGAAAGAAATTAAGAAATGAAACGCGATAAATGAATAGGATAATTAGTTAAATATAAATTTAAAAAAAGAGAAATACACATATTTTAATTGTTACAAAAGTTTTATCCAATAAAAACTTATACTTATAGCACTATAAACGCACATAATTAAACAAACAGAAATTCTGCTTGTAAAATATCACAGTTTTAAATTCATATCGTAATATAATTTTCAAGGTACATTCTAAAAATTAATAATTATCAATATATAAACATCATGTATATAGTTTTGAAAATCTACGTAACATGAACTACAGATTTTCAATACTGATAGTATATCGGAGCACAAACAAGCTAATCTTTATTATTATTATAATTCATAATTACACATTTGATGAATAAAAATACATACACAATAGCTGTACGTTTGCCCCGCGCAGAAGAATGTTTGTCAGACGGCATTGCAATGAAGTAATAAACACTGACAGAATACTTGGAAAAGTTGTATTTTTACTTGTTTTCACTGGCGCCAATATTGTTAGCAGAGTCACCTTTTCGAATGCGCATTCGAGTAGACACGTTTAAAAGTATGTACATATGTACATACCTAAAGATTGTAAAATATCACAGTTTTAAATTCATATCGTAATATAATTTTCAAGGTACATTCTAGCGAGAAGATGATTTTCCGATTGCAGATAGATAAGATGCAAATTAAAAGCTGCTTCCTTTCTTAGATCCAAAAGGCTCGCATGCTGTTTGACTAGATCTCCTGGATCTCCCTTCAGGACCAACTTGTAAAAGTGAATCGCAGACGGTAATAAACCAATTTGATGAAATGCTCGTGCCATATTGTAATAAGATTCTTGTTGACCCTCTTTACCACGTAATTGCATATATTTCTTGAAGAAGGCTAGCGCTACGTACAAAGAAATAAAAATAGAGATTAGAGAGAATTTAAAAGAAATATACATATACCTATTAAGAGTTGTATTATTATAAATATAACGTATATTGTTCATATATGTATATATAAACGTACATTCTATAAAAAGAAAAAAGAACGCGCTCTCTAATATATGCTCGCTAAATCTTGACGAGATTTAAAATCAATTCCTATCTTACTGTGCGAGTTATACGCACCTTGAATTACAAGCTGATTCTTCTTGGCTGACATCTTTTGACATGCCATTTGTAATTGCGTCACGCCAATTAACAATGCTAACAATGCGCTGGGCGCTACTTTAAAGAGAGACATGTAGCCGTTTAGGGCATATTTATAAGTCCCCGAGACAAGACAGTTGTTTGCATGCATGATATGCAGATATGAAAACACGTCTCTTCCAAGTAATCGCATTATAAATCTGTTGTGCCTCAAATCTTCTGCTCTCTGAATTATTATATTCAACAAATTCCACGTGTTGGACCTTTGACAGACGCGTACGAATTCTCGAACGATATTGTACCCGTAGAACGAATCCTTATTATGAATACAAGAGACCAAGCACAAAAAGATAATATGAGAATTTCTCTTCTTAAATCTCTTCGATGTCAAAGCAGTGAAACATAATCTTTGGAGGAAACCGTACTTATTTAATTTACACGCTAGTTTACACATTTGTAGGAAAAGTAGAAATTCATTTTTTTCACTCGGTCTCGCGTTCGCGACAAACGTTGGGGCATTTTCATCTTCCAACTTTTCCCCGCATGACAAGCGACGAAGTTGCAGGCTGTCAAGCCGTTGTCGAACACCCGTTGCTCGAGCCAACGCATTCAGTTCGACCTTCCGTCTTATATTAACACAATGTCTCGAGAAGAGTAACATTCCCGAGGAAAAGTACTCCTCGTATCTTCCAACTTTAAAAAGCAGTAGCGTTCTCTGATACAGAACGTCAGAATCTAACGCGTCGAATTCGGGATCTTGATAAAGAACTTGTATCGCCTTATCGTACTGCTCCGACTTTTTGTAAAGCTTGGCTAGAGCCAATCTTGCGCCCAAATGCTGCGGCGACAACCTTCGGACGGCCTCGTAAGATTCTATGGCTTTGTCTAACTGGTTGCAGCCGACCCAACATTCCGCGTGCCTCAGCCAAACTGCAGCCAAGCTAAAATTCGAACTTTTGACCAACGGATCCAACAGGACCATGGCGCGATAAAATTCCTTCTTGCCCATCAACGCTTCCGCCACATCTAAGAAGAGATCCCCTGAAATCTCGGGGTTCTCGCGCGTGTAGAATTTAGGTAGGAGTTTCTCGGCTATCGGAATGTAATCCAATTCGATGAGAGTCACGAGAAATTTCGCCTTCAAGTCAACAACCACATCGTCCGGCACATCGCAAGACTCTATTTCGTCGCTCTTCTCGCCTCTCGATGGAGACATAGCTTTTCCTTTCGCACTATTACTAGACTCTTCTTCCTTATCGGGCTTTGTATCGAGCTTGTCGTCGGTTGCTCTCCTCTTCTCTCTGCCCTCATTCCTTTTATATTGTATTTGAATATTTGTATACTTAACCAATATATCTAAACATCTCTTAAACTGCTTCAGTGCTATTAACAATTCAGTCATGATATTGACTTCTTCTAATGTAATGAGATCAGGACATTTAGCAAAAATAATCTCCACCGCTTCTAACGCTTGCTCATTGTTGTCTTCTTGCATATAACGTTTAGCTAATATCTTTGCGTATCTCATTATATATTCGCCATCCTCAGCTTCCAATTGATGAATCAATTTCGTATATCCTCGCAGGTACGCCTTTTTATCTCCATTCTGTTCCTGAAGCTGCGCTCGTGTCTCATACAAACTTATGTCCTTCGGACTCGCTTGAATCGCTTTAGAGTAACACGTTATCGCCTGTTTTATATCGCCGCTTTCCAATGATAAGTTGGCTAATCTCACCCACTGATCAGCATCCTTAGGACTGAGATGCGCGGCGATCAGAGCAAATTGCAACGACCTTTCTGGTTGATCATTTTCATATATCATAGCTAACGTCTGAAACGGTTCTGGAGCGCTCGGTACTTGTCTGTTGTAAGAAAATAATTAGTAACTGTTAAAGATTCTTGAACTCTATTGAGCACAGCTATTACATGAAAATGTTAACCAAGGCGTTGTACGCCAATGTGAGATGTATAGATAACATAAATTGAGAGAGAGAGAACTTGCCTAATGATCTCCATGCATATTTGAGCTGCCAAATCTACCTCTCCTTTTGCAAATCTTAAATTTGCCTCTCCCATAAGTCCTTGCAAAACTGGCGGTAAAACGCGCCTTTTCTTTTTCGGACGAACATTATTTGCTTTATAAGGCTTTTGTTCCACGATCTTTTGTACAGTAACACGATCGAATCCAATTGTCCGTCTAAAAATAGGATCAAATGTATAGTTTTTTTTTGGCAATTGATTGTCAAAATGATTCAAATCTCGTGTGTATGCGCATGCACATGCATATCCCTGAGCTATACCTGGACGTATCATTTTCTATCGTCTCCAAATCTATATCCTGATCCATTCTGGACGAATACTCGCTAAACGTTAACTCGCCATTCAAGAACTGTTTTGTCAGCCGATCCTCCTCGTCAGCAGTTAGCGATGTATCCTGATCCTCTATGTCCATGTTGTCCTTGTTGGAGGACTTGCAAGATAGAGAGATTGTAGATTTTGGAATGATATCCGTCACCTCTCTGATCTGCAACGCCTTCGCTTCGACAAACTCATTGATATCCATATCCATTGAGCTAATGGCACTTGCGTCCAATTCTTCTATTATCACCGGTGCTACGCTGCTACTTCCACTGATAGCCAGGCTGTCATCGGCGGTCGATTTTTCAAGTTCCAATTGCAATTCACTTTTTCCAACTACTGTATCCATGCTGACGCTTCCTTCGTTAGCATTACACTCCATAACGATGATTGTTTCACTATGTCCTCGCTAGTCTCGTGCGTACAATTTTCTAATATTTCACGTAAACTTCAACTGTAAACTTTGAAATATTCAAGCAATAATCAAAAACATTTAACCGCGTAACGTTATTGGTTAGGTTGTTGGCTTTGCTATCGCTACTACGATATATTACAAGATTTAACAAGGTGACAAACATGTGTATACATATGTATATTTACCTGTCGTCGAATCTCCTGGTAAGATATGTACGAAAGAAGAATTACACGCGAGAGAGAGATACATTCGACCGATCACCAAACGAGTAATGTGTATTGATTGCTTCTTTTCCTGTAAGTTAGGTTAAAACATAAGCCAACATAGACCATAGACGTAGGAATATAAGGGGAGACGGAAAACAAAATTGCGGGGGGGAAGGCAGTGCGGGACGGTGCGACGAGTTTTCACGCATGCGCATTCGAGTAGCACGTTTAAAGGTATGTACATATGTAACACATACCTAAAGATCTGATAGGTGCAGCTCAGTTGTAGCTCAGTGTAGCCACTAGTGTAGACTGTGCCGACATCTAGAAACAGCTGTTCGTCAACACCCCTAACGCCCCCCAGTCGTTCTCGACCGTCATGGCCGCTTCCAGGTTGACAAAGCCGTCGAAGATGACATTTGTTAGATGAAAAAGTATTAATGAGCGAGTATACGAGTATCGCTTGTTCGAACCAAGATCAGCAGCGAGGATTACACAATTAGAGTTTATACCTTTCTTCTTACATCCGTACTTTACATAATGACGGTCGTGTAATTTTATAACTCGCTCGCGCGAATGTTCTCCTACGCCTTTCACTTTGTGCAAATAGTACTCAGCAATTTAATTAAAACTCTATCCGAACCGATACGATTGCGTCCACGAGAGATGAAACAATGATGCCGATAAAGGACAATCAAGATGTAGCATGCTTTTTAGTTACCAAGCATTCTACATGGAAAGGAAAGTGAGTGTATTCTTTCTTATATGTATTTTACTGTATATGCATGTGTCAATCCATTTCTGCTCAGTTCAGTTAAAGATGTTGGAAAAATGTGGAAGCAAATCAGTATTCAATACGTCAAATAAGAGTCCATGATTGTCTGTTGAACGTAAAAGTTATCCAGGTGTAACGACAAATTTATACAAATTTGTGTATATCAAAAATATTTTTTTGTGATTATTTAATAAAGATAATATACAAACTTTAAATTGTATGCCATCTTTACATTGGATACATTTAAAAATTATATAATTTTTAATATAAAAGTATTCTCATTACTTATATCAAGTAACATATTTTAGGTACAAGCGTATCTTCTCCATTGGCTCTATGGGAATAACCACATATAATCCTGGCACATTAGAAGTGACAAACAAATGGGAATATCCTGATTTTATAAATGTACAGCCAATAAATAGAAATCAGTTAGGTTCTCATGAATTTACTATAACTGTGCGCAAGGAGCGAAAAAATGAGACCATGAAGTTTAGCTCTGAACATAGATCACACTTATTGACAGAAGCACTTAAATACAGAAACCATGTTGAAAAATCTAAAGAAATTTTGGTGAGTTTACATACATATGTACTTTTTCTTTTTTTTTTCTTTATATATATAAAGGAAATTAGAGAGAGAGAGAGAGAAAGTTATAAACCGTACATAATACACACATACATGTACTTAATATTAATAATATATACATATATATTTTTTTTCTGTAGAGATATCCAGCTTATAAACATCATTGGTCTGATACAAGATTACCTATTGTATTAGAAATAACACCATACAGTCTCGATCAATTAGATCCTGCGACAAACATGGTATTAGCTAGTTATTGTTATAAAGATTTTGAAGGGCTCCTGACAATGAAAGATTATCCCAATGGATTTGTGATTGTATGCGGCGGATTTGGACGCCTGCATCTGTTCGCTTCTAAACATATGGAAGAGATAAAAAAGAAATTGCAAGAGGCTGCATTAAATAGCTTGGGCATTAATATAAAAATGTTGAAGGAGCCTATAAGACTCGATGACTTTATTGCTCAAAGATTAGGAAAATTTAGCGGTGATGAGCACATAACGAGCGTATCAGAATTTACTGTCCACAAGATCTCTTCCAGGCATTTGGATCCTCAGAGAAGAACACTTTGTCTCTCGGATACTTGCCTGTTGGAAAGAGATCCTCAAACGTACAATATTTGTACTCTCAGGCCGTTGTCGGACATTTTTACTTTGATTCGTGATAATGATAATCCTCAATTGTTTACTATACAATACCTCAACGGTCAGATGCGCAGTTATACCGCGACAAATAGAGATTCCTTATTAGCATCTTTACTGGACGGTGTAAGAGCATCCGGCAATAGAGATGTCCACGTGAAGATGTATCCTATAGCCAGAGGTAAAAGACTCGGCCCTTTCAATCTACCCGTTGACGAAGAAGTCGAAACGACGCATGTTAAATTCCTTCAGCAACCACCTGGAGGACGTACATTTGCTGAAATTTTGGAGAGATTTAACGCAAATGTACCGTACAGCGGGCTTAATTACTCCATTACGCAGGATGTAAGACATTTAAAGCATTTCTCTATCTCTGATATTACGCACATGTATAAGAGTTTGTACAGTACATTGAAGCGGTTAAAGGATATCAACTGATTAAGTTTGAAATCTCTTTGAACCTTTATGAAAAAAAAAACATTCAGATTTCTTTTTACTTTTTTTCCTTGTAAAATCAATGCACTTGTGAGATTGTCAAGTTTCAAATGTGATTCAATGTTTAAATAAATGTAAATAGTACATAAAGGAACACAAGAGACATTTTCTATTTCTGCAGGAAGTTGTACCGCTTGAATGGACTGCGAACGACATTACAACTCCGTACATCTCGTATCACGAATGATTACTTGCAGGGAATTTTTACTGAAAACAAAGACAAGATTATTCTCGGAGCTTTGAATACTTTGATAAATAAAGATCTCGAGACGAATAGCGAGATTGAAGCACAATTTCACGCACTGCGAAGACTGGTGGCTAGCAAAATCGGTTTCGCTGCATTTACCACACTTTCTGGTTTTAGAGAAACCGTTGGTACAAAGGTCGTGAAGGCTTTAAAGAGACAAAATTGTGGTGTAACGCAAGCTGCCATAGATTGTATTTGCGCTCTAATGCAACCAATGCATGATGATTGCGATTTAAGACAGGAACAATTGAACAAAAGTAGTCTGCTCAGCAGTAATAAATTTTTAGAAAGTTTACTCGAAATGTGGGTTAATCACATTGTAAGTGTTTCACGTTCTATTTACTCATATTGCTTGCGACAGATTGTTTTTTTTTTTTTTTTTTTGAGGTCTCAAAAATTTTGCTTTGTAGTTTTCTTTAACAACTTGTGCAGTTGTCTTTCAGTATCTTTTTTAGTTTTTTTTTGCTAATTCTACATATACATACATACATACGTATATATATGTATATATGTATATTTTGTAAATTTAATGTATTAGATATTACATGTTCTCTCTTTGCTAAGGAAGGAAGAAGCTATTAAAGATTTTGATTAATGTGCAGAAATATTCTATAAAATATAATCTGATACATCAAATGATAAAGATTCTACTGATATATCTTATCGGTATATTTCAAAACTTCTTTTCTTTCTTTAATATTACAGAATCGTGGCACAGGTGCACTGGTGGTCTCTGCTATGCTCGATCTTTTGACATTTGCCCTGTGTGTACCGTACAGTGAAACCACTGATGGCAAACATTTTGACAATCTTTTAGAAATGGTTGCTACAAGAGGTAGATCTTTGTTTAAATTGTTTCAACATCCTTCACTGGCTATAGTAAAAGGTGCTGGACTGATAATGCGAGCAATCATTGAAGAGGGTGCACCAGAAGTAGCGGCAAAAATGCAAGAACTGGCACTTGCAGAAGGAGCTCTACCAAGACATTTATTAAACAGTTTATTTACTGTCGGTAGTGATGGCAGACTATTAACCCATCGACAATTGTGTCGGCATTTAGTAGGTCTATGGGTCACAGGACATCCTACGGCTATGGGATTATTGAAACGAATTATGGTAAGTCGATATATATATATACACACATTTGCATTCCACGAGATGGTGATCATAAATTTTTAAAATTGTACCTACTGCTATATGTTGCAATCATGAATAATGTGTACAAATTGTAATTTGCAGCCGGTGGGTTTGTTGAATTATTTGGACTCCGATGAAAAAGTACCGGATTCATTCCTAGAAGAAGAGAGATTAAACAATCGTGACAATTTAAAGATAGCTATAGATCATGCTTCAAGAAATAAAAAGAGTCCACAATGGATCGCTATCGAACGTCAGATGCGAGTAGTTGAGAAGCATGTAGAGAATGCTCTGCAACATTGGGGTGCTCGTATTGGAATAGAACGCAGAGAAAAGATTAAAGAGCGTCCGATAGTTCTAAGAAAACGTAGAGAACGAATTAAATCTGAAGCGAATTGGAAATTATTCTATTATAAATTTAATCAAGATCATGCACTGCCAAATTTAATTTGGAATCACAAAACGAGAGAGGAATTAAGAATAGCATTAGAAAATGAGATACGTGCATTTAGCTCGGATAAAGACTTGGCCGGTGGAACTTTGATTGCGTGGAATCATAGAGAGTTTGAGGTGCAGTATCAATGTCTTTCGGATGAAGTTAAAATTGGAGATTATTACTTGAGGCTTTTATTGGAAAAAGATAGTCCGGACAGCCCTATAAGAAAATCGTAAGTACACATATCGATAACTTTTTTATATATGTATGTACATTCGATGAAAAATGTTATACGACCTTAGTAATTTTTATCAATTCTCAAAAATAAAGGTAAAAAACCCTAATGAAAAACCAACCGCGAAAAATACCGTCTGTAAAAGAAAGGAACAAACATTAGATGTTGCAAATAGTGAGAAAATAAGAAGGAAAGAATAATATGTGACTCGTTTTTTATTACTAACTGTATTCGATGTCTCGTTAATTCGAACAATGTTAGTAGAAAATTTTAGATAGTTTGCGTTAGTTGTTAGTATTGACAGATTATTTTATTTTCAATTACAGATACGAATTTTTTAATGATTTATATCATAGATTTTTATTGACTGCGAAAATCGAAATGAAGTGCCTTTGCTTGCAAGCAATGACGATTGTATATGGTCGATATTACGAGGACATTGGCCCATTCTCAGACACGAAATACATTCTGGGAATGTTGGAGCGTTGCGCGGACAGAACGGAGCGCGATAGGCTAGTCATGTTCATAAATAAGCTCATATTGCATAGGCGAAATGTCAAAGATATAATGGATCAGAATGGTGTACGAACTTTAGTCGATTTATTGACTTTGGCACATTTACATACTTCCCGAGCTGTCGTACCGACGCAAACCAATGTGATAGAGGCAGGTCCGCAGCAGGAGCGAATGGAAAAGGAATGGTATTACAACAATGGGGATCAACGTGAAGGTCCGATGAGTCTGAAAGACCTGAAAGAATTGTACACCTCAAATCACGTGACTCACAAAACGAAAGTTTGGGCACAGGGATTAGACGGATGGAAAACGATTTCACAAGTGCCACAATTGAAGTGGAGTCTTGTTGCAAAGGGAACTCCCGTGATAAATGAAAGTGAACTGGCTAATTTAATCCTAAACATTTTAATCAAGATGTGCGAATATTTTCCAAGTAGAGACGCCGATGATGCGGTAATCAGGCCTTTACCACGTGTAAAGCGATTGCTATCCGATCTTCAATATCTGCCACATATCGTACAGCTCTTGCTAACGTTTGATCCAATCCTAGTTGAAAGAGTTGCTACATTGTTGTGTGAGGTGATGCGAGATAATGCAGAAGTGTCAAAAATTTATCTCACCGGCGTATTTTACTTTATCTTAATGTACACTGGTTCTAACGTCTTGCCAATCGCCAGGTTTTTACAACTCACACACACCAAACAAGCCTTTAGGAACGACGACGTGAGTTTATCATTTACATTTGTTTACATTTGCTTTTCATTCTAACTCGAAAATGGTAATATAATTACAATTACAAGAAATTACAGAGAAATACGTATAACATTGTTGTTGTATCCTCTATAGAACGCTTGCTCTGACATCATGCAACGAAGTATTCTCGGTCAACTATTGCCCGACGCAATGGTGAGTTATTTAGAGAATCACGGAGCAGAGAAATTTGCGCAAATATTCCTTGGAGATTACGACACACCGGAAGCAATTTGGAATGCAGAAATGCGCCGGATGCTTATCGAGAAAATTGCTGCGCATATTGCGGATTTTACTCCCAAATTACGAAGTCATACTATGGCCAGGTATCAGTACATCGCTATACCTGCCGTCAGATATCCACAATTGGAAAATGAATTGTTCTGCCAGATATTCTATCTCAAACATCTCTGCGATACCGTTAAATTTCCACAATGGCCTATCCCGGAACCTGTAAGTTCTAAAGCGAATTGACTTGATCCTTTCTGTGTTATGCGTACACAAAATTGCGAACAATGCTCTCTATACGTAACATTAATGTATTTGTATTATTTTTATATTGAATCAGGTGCAATTATTAAAAGATGTATTGGACGCGTGGAAAAGAGAGGTAGAGAAAAAGCCACCTCTAATGACTCTGGAGGAAGCTTATAAGCAGCTTGGCTTAGCTAGTGGAAAACACCATGACGAAGCGATCGTAAGAAAGTCATTTTATAAATTGGCTCAAATGTATCATCCTGACAAGAATCCTGAAGGCAGGGTAAGTGCCTGTGTTTAAATTTATTGCGAAATATTTTATCGCGGTTTTATATGAATTTATATGAACTACTTGCGTGTATACACGTGCATTACATATACACATACGTATTACAACGATATATTATAATGATTGTAGGACAAGTTCGAAGCTGTTAGCCAGGCATACGAATTTCTATGCAGTCGCAGTTGTTGGTCGACAACTGGCCCTAATCCTGACAACATCGTTTTGATTCTAAGGACTCAGAGCATCCTTTTCCACAGATATACAGATGGGCTTAGACCTTACAAATACGCTGGTTATCCTCAGCTGATCAAAACGATTAAGCTAGAAACGGATGACGAACGATTATTTTCAAAGTCCGCACCATTGTTAGCAGCTGCAAGCGAACTTGCGTACCACACGGTGCACTGTTCGGCTTTAAATGCCGAGGAATTACGAAGAGAGGGTGGTTTAGACGTGTTGTTGGAAGCGTACACGCGATGCGTGTCGGTTTTAAGCAGATCGAGTAAATCCACTGACGTAGCAGTGCAAGTTTGCATGCATATCACCAGATGTTTCGCTGTTGCCGGATCGTTTCGAGGATGCAGAGACAAGATTATTGAATTGCCGCAACTTGTGAAAGATCTTTGCAGAATACTGCATTTTAAGGTATCTGCCAAAGATATTTTATGGCTACGAGATGTGCACACATCTCTTATATTCGCGCGCGCAACTCTTTCTATTTTATTACATTAATTTTTATCTTTCTTTGTCTTCTTTTGCAGCATTTAACAAAATTATGTGCCGTTGCCACAGAGTGCATCTCGTCTCTTGCTATAGATAGCATATTACAAATGCAGCTATTACAATCTGGTGCTTTGTGGGATCTGTTGCTCTTCATGTTCAACTATGATTACACGCTAGAAGAGGGTGGTGTAGAAAGAAATCAAGATGAAAATCGTCAAGAAGTGGCCAACAACTTGGCTAAATTGGCAGTTCGCGCTTGTGCTAGATTAGGTGGTTACATCAAGGGCGATAACGAGACTCCCATTAATCCTGTTACAGTTGCCGCTTTAGAAAGTTTATTAACGCCCTATCTAGCACGTCAGCTTGTTAAAGATAAACCCGAGGAAATTTTAAAGATATTGAATTCTAATTGTTCAAATCCATATTTGATCTGGGACAACGGTACCAGGGCGGAATTAAACGAATATCTCGAACTGAAACGGCAAGAGAGATTAAATAATAGCGGCAATTTCGAACATGACTTTAGCGATTTCAAGTACACTGCTCATGCTGACGAATTGGTAATTGGTGAAATATTCGTGAAAGTATACAATGAGCAGCCAACGTATCCAATTGAGGTAAAATTTTTATTTATTCTTAAAATGCTGGAAATAAAATTGTGCGTGCGCACGTGTGTGAAGATAATAAGCGTTGAAATGATTTTTACGTTCCGCGATGAAAGTAATACTCGAGGGTCTATTTTAATTTTCAGAATCCCAAAGGTTTTACGATAAACTTGCTCGAATTTCTGTCACTATCTTCGGAGTACTTAACATCCTTGGGAAGTATTACTTCGGTTAAAAAGGACCAAGAGAAATTGGAGCACATTGTGATGGCGCTTAAAGCTCTGAATAATGTTATAAAAAATAATCCTGGTATTGAATTACAATGTATGGGGCACTTTAAATTGCTGTTTGGACTCTTGAATTGCAGTAATTTTAAATTGATTCAAAAGAGCGCGCTTGAAGTGATCAGTAATGTTACCAAAAATCAAGAATGCGTTGACGACATTGCCGCGAATGAAGTGGTCGTGCATTTGTTGTTATGTTTGCACAGTTTGAAAGAGCATCAGCTTCTTGCATTGGAAACTTTGTATGCACTGATGAGTTCGACTAAAATAGTAAAAGATGCATTGTCAAAAGGTTTGTACAGAAAGATACATTCGTATAGAGAATATGCAGAGAGTATGGAGAGAATTACATTGATATTGATTTGGAAATCGCGACAAGGCTTGTCGATACGTCACGTAGTGAACGTATTCGTAATATTTTCCAGGGGCAGTTGTGTACATTCTTGATCTCTTTTGCAACTCGAGTAATATACAGACGAGGGAAGCAGCAGCCGAATTACTTGCAAAAATGTCATCCGATAAATTAGCTGGACCAAAAGTTAAACTTGATTTATCGAAATTTTTACCTCGATTATTTAGCGAGGCTATCCGCGATGCACCCAAGCAATGTGTACATATGTTTGAAACACAGCACGAAAATCCTGAATTGATATGGGATGATGATGCAAAAGCTAGAGTAGCAAGAATTATTGCAGAATTGAAAGACGAGTAAGTTTTATAAATTGATTCATTAATGTTCCTTTCTTCGTTCTCTCTTATTTTTTTTTGTCTTTCTAGTAGCGTATCGATGTTAATTAAATGTTTTATCTTTTAGATATCACGCATTACAGAGACGAAATCCTAACGCCATATTAAAGTTACCCGATACACAAAATAATATCGATATCGCGACGAACGAGCCCGTCGTAGGTGGTGTATATCTTCGATTATTCATAGCCAGTCCTGCTTGGGCGCTTAGGAAACCCAAAGAATTTTTAAGTGAGCTAATGGACACTACATTAACATTAATGTCCAAGGAAAAGACTGATGTAAGTATTTGCACTATAAAAGTATAGTACTAATAAAGCATATGGTAATATTATCCTAATATTTAATTTATGTACATATATTTTCTACATTTGATTTTCTTTCTAGACGGATATGTTGGAGTTAACAACACAGGCTCTTGTATGTTTACTCCAAGCGCAGCCCACTTTGGCGGACCAAGTACCATCTTTGGGTCACATACCACGACTCTGTCGACAGATGGCTGCTCAGAACAGTCAGCCGTCAGTGTATAAAACAGCTATATTAATTCTACATCAATTAGCTACAAGCGAAGTGAGTAAATCACTTTTATCGTTATTGTATGTGTAATCTGTAATTCGTTTCTAATTTGTTTGATTCGTGTTCAGATTTGTATCTCGGCTATATGCCAAACGGAGTGCATAAGTCCATTGAAGCATGCGATGCAATCGAGAAGGGACATGATCGCGGTAGCATGCGAGACACTTAATAGATTATTTTCTACGAATGAAGATAGACTTATCAAGCAAGTACGTGTAAAAAGAACTTATACGATTCAAGTATATCACGTTCACTATTGATATGTTCGTGTATTTTTGTTTATATATACATATATTTATATACCACAGGCATTGGATGCTGAAATGGTACCATATCTTTTAAATATATTGGAAGGACGATTAGATATTGTTGAAAATCCTGCCACGACTAAAGCACAAATAGTAAAAGCTCTAAAAGCCATGGCGAAAAGTTTACTTCTTGGTGAAAAAGTTAATGCCATTTTGGAGAAGTCGAGCGTATGGGCAGAATATAAGGATCAGCGGCACGATCTATTCATTTCGAATAATACCAGTTCTGGTTATCTCACAGGTATAACATATGTAAATAACCTTTTTTTTAATGCACAGCTAAGTATTTTTCTTGCTAGTTATTAAATTGCATGATTTCTTATTTAGCTGGAACACCCGTATCTGCTGGCTACTTGACAGCAGGGCCAAGTACAACTTTAACCACGGGCCCACCACCAGTAGAGAAAGAGGATAATTTAATTAATAGAAACGATAGCATCTGATATAGATAACATTGTAAGTGATACAAAAAGCAGTAAGAACATTAATATTGAGAGATTTACCTGTCGGTAAATAATACCGGTGTAGAGACTATTGTCTGTGATTTTTGGCTTCTTAATGAAAAAAAATTTATTAACTGTTTTTGCTGTATAATCTTTATGTTAGGATTATAAAATATAATATTTCGTTCTTTGATTACATTTTTATGTGAACGATAGTAACATAGTTATAAACTTAAATTGTCAGTTTTTAAGACGTAAATATAGAAGTAAAATTATAATATATATTCCTCCTAAAGACACAGAGTCTCTTATCTGAATACATGCATGCATACATATGTACGTATATATGTATGTATGTATGTATGTATGTGTATATGTGTGTATGTATGTAAGTATGTATGTATGTGTGTATGTATGTATGTATGTATATGTATATTATTAAACAAGGTCTTTGGACAAATTTTTATTTTATACTCAGCAGTGTCGTAATGTGAGATCTTGTCACGTTTCTGGTAAACGAATTTACATTTGTAAGTTTGTCTGTAAGACGTTTAAGAAACAATTAAATCCGATAGTATTGCCTGACACGTTCAAAGTTGACTTTTTCAATTCTCAAAAATGAAAAAGAATAATTTGTCCAAGCGGAGGAATGATTATCAGCTAATTAAGTTTACAATAACATTATTTCTTTTCCTGAAAGCTTTTTATACTCAATCACGTGGCTGGCATTACTTTCTTATTCATAGTCCAATTTCTAAGCTTAATTGCGCGCTAATTACATTTCCATTTGAATTTTTATTAAGGAAAGATTGATACTAAAAAAAAAGGAATGCATCTAACTAATTTTCATATCTTTAGGAATATCTATGTATAATATGGGATATAATGAGATATTTTTTAATGAGATTAATGAGTGCAAGTGTAAGAATTCCTGATAAATTCCTTATAAGTAAGACTTATGTAATAATTTGCAGTAAAATCAAAAAAAAAAAAAAAGAAAACAAAACCATCCAGAAATCCACATGTAGTAACGCAACAACTTTCTCTGTGATAACATATTAAACAGTAAACTTTGCAATGAAGGCACAAGGCGCGCGCGCGCAAGAGAGAGAGAGAGAGAGAGAGAGAGAGGGGGGGAAAGAGAGAAAGTGTATGAGAGAGATACGCCAATATGTTCTAAGCCTTGTCACTGAAAAAAAACATCAGTGATGACATTCCAACAAGTCGAAACTATAAAATGTACTTATGAAATTAAAATTGTCTTTGTTTTGCGAAAAGAAATGATTAAAAATTAATATTAAAGAATCGAACAGTCCCTATACATAGTCAAAAATTTTAATAACACATTATTTGTTTAATCTTTGTTATCGAAATGAAAAGTTTAAATATATTTATATTCTTATTTGCTACTCATTTATAATCTATATTTTTCTCTTGAAAAAAATATATTTTTAAATATGATAAGAAGATACATTTTTTTAGTTGTGTATGTTTGGTAGTTATCGCAATCATATCATATCTGGATTTCGGATGGATGAAAACTAAGTATTTATTACCTTGAAACATAGATTTTTTTTGTACATTTTAATATTAAAAAGGATATTTTATTTATATTATAATTATAAAATGTATCAATTTTTTCTACAATCTTTCTAATATTTATCAATTATATACCAAATATATACGACTGTTATATATAAATATATATACAATGGCTATTCGCAGAAAATTACGGGATATTGCTAAGCAGATTATTGGAATTTACTTATCATAAAATTTTTCGTCAAAGATTTTCTTATGTTTACATCGGTTACCTTGAAGAAAAATTTAATCTGGTCAACTATTTACATTTACATAATTATTATAAAATCTTAAATTGTACAAAGAGCGATAACATCTGGTGATACTGCAGAAGAGACTCTTCAGTGACATAGTATCCATTTAGACACTTGAACAATACAAAAAAACGCTTAAAACATCAAAGAAAAGACAGAAATGTTAAAATATCTTTTAGATAATTCTGGACATTCTAAGATAATATTCAGACATTTGTGTTGTCTGGGCAATATCTCTTTTGTATCGATTGCTAATATTCAATTAATCGTATACTTATTATTAATAAAAATAACATTGAAATGACATCGAAAGATTTTAAATATTACAATACGAATGTAGATCATATTACTCTTTTTTTGCTATGCACCAATCATACATTTTGCGTTTCAAGATTAATGAGTTTTTGCTTTTCAAGTAGCAAGTGTAAAGAAATACGAATAATTCCACAATAATAATAATAATTTATATGTCTGTACAGAATATGCTTGCAAATAATTGCTATATTTTGCTAATTTAATATTTTGTTTATTTAAGAACAAAAGCTATTGGCAATGCTGACTTTTAAATTTGATAAAATGAAAGAAAATATACAATCAGTAGTAGTTACTTTATTATAATATATATACGACTCGTCGATATCGACTTTTCTAGAAGTAAAGAAAATGAATAAAACAATGCGTGTCGAATAAAGTACATATGTATAAACTCCGAATATGCATTACTGTGTATATAAACTTTGTTAATGATTTAATAATTGCGAATAAATAGGAAAGAGAGCTTCAGTTAAGTTGATATATTTATTATTCAATTTTTTAATGATTCTAAATAATTGTACCCGCGCGCGCGCGCACGCGCGCACACACACACACACACACACACACACACACACACACACACACCTAACCTACAAAAAAATTATATATTATACTATAAATTACTGTATGTATAATTAGAAAATAAACGATTTTCTACAAAGTAAAAATTCGAGTATGATAAAAGTCAATTTAATGAGCTAGTTGATAGTTGTGCTATACATAATTAACATGCATTAATCGATTTTATTTCATTACTTTCGTCAGCTGATTCATATAAAACATCGCATAGACTCAAATATTTATTTCCCGAATAATTACTGAGTAATTTATCCAAGCTTTGTTTTAATTCGGTGAAAGTAGGTCTGCTTTGTGGTCTTATATTCCAACATGAATACATTATGCTGTATCTGAAAAACAAGTAAAAAAAAAATAAAGTATAAAACTGGAGAAATTTATATACTTCAAAGTTACATCTCTATTAAAGGAATACCACGTGTTTTATATATAATATACATACAATTCGCGACTACAATTTGGTGGTCTCTCCATTCGATATCCGGATTTGAGAAATTGTAAAATTCTATTTGTCGGAGTACCAGGATAAGGCATGGCTCCTAAAGTGACTATTTCCCATAATAAGATACCAAAAGCCCATCTATAATTCAAAATATCATCGTCAACAATAAAATAAATAGCATAATGTATATAATCCGATATCTAATATAATGTTATGTCTGAAAATAGAATGCATACACGTCGCTGTAAGTAGTATATATTTGATGCGTTAAAGCTTCAATTGCCATCCACTTTAAAGGCAATTTACCATTTCCTCTTTTTCGATAAACATTCTCTTGATAGATATCCCTGCTGAGACCAAAATCAGAAATTTTAACCACTCTATCCGGTCGCACTAATACATTACGAGCAGCCAAATCACGATGTACTATTCGATTAGAAGATAAAAATTCCTAAACAAAATATTACATCCATCGTATAATTTATATGACGAAATTGGCATCCAGAATTAAGAAATGGATATCGTTTGTTTAAAGTACAAACTTAATAATACGTAATTATTAATATTGGTATGACGTACCATTCCTGTAGCTATTTGTCTTGCAAAATTTAATAAATCGGCGGAAGTAACATTTTCTACATATTTTGTCATATCTGAAAAAAACATTGGTGGTAGAATTATGTATTGCTCAAAAGTTATTTTCGATTGTCGTCTGTATAATTTACCTTGTTGAATATCATATAAGCGATTGGCGATCGTTCGCGGATTCTTATAGTTGGAGACACATTTTTCTGCGTAATAGAAAAATCTTTTGTTTGAAGAATATTTGAAATTATTAGTTATCATATAGCGCATAACAATATATGAACATGTATGTACATACAACACATATATGTTCACTAACAATAAATATAGGTGTAATAAAAATATGTTAAATGTTACAAGAATGTTACACACACACACACTACCTTGATCTGTGTTCTTATTGGCATAAAATACGATATTAGATTTCAAGTGAGTCCTACACTCAAATACGGCATTCACTATATTTTGCCAAATCTAAAAATAAAATTTAATTATGAAATAATTGTGCTTTATACACATAAATAACAAAGTAAATATAATAATATTTATTATTTAAAACAAAACTAATGCATTTTTCAATTTACATATAATATCGTACTATACTCCTTGACATAGCTCACCGTTCTTAAATAGGTTTGTAAATCGCCCTTACTACAATATTCCACTACTAATAAAGGTTTATCGTACAAAGTACAATATCCAATTAAAGACACTATGTTCGGATGCTGACCAGCGGATTTCATCATTGAAATCTCTTGATGAAAACTTTTTATGTCCTCTACTGTTGGATTATCTGTATATAATGAAGTAGAATTGTTCGTCTATATATTTTAATTACTTCTTTAGTGTAGATTAGAATATTATATTCATGAGGCTGTAGTTTTCTTATATCTAATATAAAATTAACAACTTGTAGTAGAAACGCGATTTTTAAGATCGATATAGGAACACGTGTCTGTTGCAACATTTTTCAAACATTTCGTTTAAAGAGGAATGAGGCTGAATATATCGGAACTACATATTTGAGATAAAATTGATTATACGACAAAATTACGTTTTTTTTTAATACGTACGTACGTCTTACGTATTATATTAATATACAAATAGATTTTTTTATTTGGTATTATTTTATCAACTTACCTTTCATCATTTTAACAGCTACGTCTGTGATAGCGCCAAATTCATCTCGCAACGAGGCAAGTTTGACAATACCGTAGGCTCCACTACCTAATATACCTTTAAGCTTCAACTGTTGTGGAGCAAGTTGAAATTTATCATGAGGCAAAAGAGTATCGCTATTCTCTACTGCATAATCTCGATTTAAAGGTTTCTTTAAGGAATCCATAGAACCCTATATTAAACGAAAAATTACTGAAATCTGTTTTATACAATTGCCTTGGATTTTAGATAATTCAAAATTATGTCAATAATAAAAAAAAAATTTGGCAATACCCAATAAAAGATTAATTATTATAGCAACAAAAGATGTGTAAATCTAATGTAAAATTATCAACTTGTAGAAACAATTTTTGAGATATGATCACGTGATAGGAACACGTGTCTGTTGCAACATTTTTCAAACATTTCGTTTAAAGAGGAATGAGGCTGAATATATCGGAACTATATATTTGAGATAAAATTGATTATGCGACAAAATTTAAGTCAAGATCTTACAATTAGCTAGTGGATAAATATTACACTAGTCATGATTTATTATTATATATTGATGAGCTTACCTCAAAATGCGTATATTCTATATTAGTCCGCTTATTCTTCTCGTTACGACGACGCATACAAATTATTCCAAATACCAGCACAATAATCACTAATGTTGATAACGTTACAATGATTTCGCGATTAAATGGCTCTGTAACTATATTATGTGGCACATGTTTCATCCAAATACAAATTTTATTCATGTATAATTGATTGAAACGATTATCATGTCTACTTGCCTACCTGATGCTTCATCGATATTCCCGGATATAGTCGATTGTAAACTTACACCGCCCATTGATTCTGCCACAATATCTATCTCATACCATAGTCTTACACCGACGTTCGAGAAGAGAGCTTTGACTGCATTCTATTAAAAAAACAATAAAATTTTCTAATTTTCTATTTTTTAGTAATTAAAATTAATCGTCACTCTGCGATAATACTAACTCCAGATACAACTAGTGAACGCGGCTCAAATCGAAGCGAATTAAATTGTAATGTGTAATTGTCTGGCTGTAGAATGGGTTTATCCCAATTAATTGCAATGTCATATGATTCTTCATTTCGCTTTCGAATATACTCGGTTCGTAAGCCTTTTACCTTTTCAGGTGCTACGAGAATCAAGAAAAGTATTTATTATACATTTAAATCAGTTTAGCTCTTTGACGAAAAAAAAACTGAAAATATATTTAATAAAGCTTAAAATAAGCTTATTCTTCTTTGAGATTATTTTAATAACTTACCGCAGATGCTTAAATTGTGATGAATTTGTAGGCACGATGGTGTGACAAAAGTGAACGTCGTTGTACTACTGATTTTAGAAAAATCATCATTACCCGATCGGATCGATATACTATTATTCTGATTGTACCGTAAGTGTTTAAGAGAAAAGTGGAAATCTAAAGACTGAAGAAATATAGGTATGTGAATATGGTAATCTAACTAACATAGTATTATATTGATAATTTGATAAAATTAAAATAAATATATGCTAATTATGTAAACTGATCTCCCCCTCCCCTCTCTCACTCTCTCTTCTCTCTCACCTTTTTTAAATCAAAATTGATCAAATCATGTTCCCCTGACCAAGATAATACATTATAGTTACAGCTCTGATCTAAAAAAAATATAATAATCACTACAATGCAGTATATAATAAAACTAGAAATTTTTTTAAGCACATATTGAGTGTTATCATATGCGCGTATATTACCTTTAGCAGATTCAAAAGCAATTTCTGCTCGTAGTTGGCTTGCATTTTTACTTTCTTCTTGAATGTTTACAAGTGATATATGTTCAACTTGGCTCGGTTGATAGTCAACTGCGAATATTAGACAATTGACAAGATGAATATAACAAAAATAAAACATTCTTAATTGCGGGAAATTTTGTAAAACAATTATATAAGCTTATAATATCTCGAGTATGTACATACGAATTACGCGACAATGTTAATTGCGCCAGTTAAAGTAAAAGATTTAATTATAAGATTCAGAGATTATAATAACCTGCGTAAGTTAAAAACCAATCTGATGTTTCGGCTAATGAAAAGCCGTATTGTGTTATTCTATGTAAACGATAACGATAATGTGTGTCTGGAGCCAAGCTTGAAAATATCGACTGTTCGCCATTGCTCTACGAAAGAAATGTACCTTTGTAAAGAGAGGCAAAAACACATAAATATAAATTTCGAGACTCGATTTATGTCAAGATATGATATATACGAGTCTTCTTTGAATAATATTGCACATTTTAATTCTTGCGTAAAAAGTATATGGATATACCTACGTATAATACGAACGCGAACATAGAGGAAACGAATATACAAACGCCATCGCGTATCGTTTAAATTGTCTTAATTGCTCGAGCTCTTTCGAGAGATCCGATATATCTAATACATTAATCTAACAGTTTAAAAATCATTATATATATTCTTTATAATCCTTTGTATATTTATTCCTTTTTATTATGTCGAGCAAGGCTTAATATAGCAATTAAAGTGTGATCGAAGGTAATAATTTAAATGTATTAATCGGTTAAAAAAACTTTTAAGAAGCATTTACCACTATGGCTGTACCCCAAGTGTCGTTAGAAACGCTTTGTTGAATAACATAGCTTCCAGGATTATGTTTAATTATTAGCACGTTCATTCCTCTGCAGTGTAAAGTGACATTCGCGCCGGCCTCCTCGTTTGTTCTCGGATAAGCTATATCGTAAAACAATTGGATATTTATTATACATGCATATAATCCTCAATTTATTACATGCATATTAATAAATATCCAAGCGAGATATTCTCCTATACATTTTGGAATCCTATTGTACGATTTAACTTACGCTCAAACTCGCCCGTAGATTGCAAACAATGATTTCGACACGATTCCTGAAACACGACAAATTATGTAATTAGACGATTTGTAATATAGTTGGAATTTAAATAATTACATTACACCCCAGCAAACGAAAATAAATTCAAATAAATTGAAAATTGCAATTCATTTTAATTTATTCGCGTTGGCGCTTTAGAATCCGAAGATGCATTCATGTCCCTATTATATTATTTTTTGTCTTCAAATAAATTTAAATACGAAATGAGCTATTCATCATGTTTAATTCGGATGTATTAATATCCGTATTATATTATTTTTGGATTCAAATATGGATTTAAAAAATCAGAAGCGCCAATTTGGAAATGTCAAAATAAATTCATTTCTATCTATTTGAATTCATTTTCGTTTGCCGGGACGACAAGCGGCGTAAACGATTCGAGCTAAATTTTGTCAATATCCGCGGCAAATATTTAGTCGAGATCGGATTGCAAATTGCAATCGTAAAGTACGTGAGGTGTGTGAGGCAATTGCAAATATCTATATATAATAAGCTATACATCTGCCTCGCTGTGTATTAATTTCTATGCGATTGTTGCCAAGCCTTGCCCTCACCAGGTCGGCACTCAATCGAAATTAATTATGCTCTATTATACGATTGTATCTCTCGTACGCGACGTATGTGCATACAAAATAAAAATATATGTACACACATACGTTCGTAAATCGCTCGTTCATTTCGACGTTACCGAATGCTCGAGTGGCAAAAAAGGTCATCAGTGAATGCTGCATATTGACTTGATTTTAAGCGCGTCGATCAATTGAAATTCAATTCCAGCAGTCTGTATATGTCTGTATATATATATATATATATATATATTTTGTGTGTGTG